AGGTTGTCCTCATATATCCCAGCTCCTAGGCTGTCCTCATATACCCCAGCTCCTAGGTTGTCCTCATATATCCCAGCTCCTAGGCTGTCCTTATATCCCAGCTCCTAGGCTGTCCTCATATACCCCAGCTCCTAGGTTGTCCTCATATACCCCAGCTCCTAGGTTGTCCTCATATATCCCAGCTCCTAGGCTGTCCTTATATCCCAGCTCCTAGGCTGTCCTCATATACCCCAGCTCCTAGGTTGTCGTCATACCCCAGCTCCTAGGTTGTCCTCATATATCCCAGCTCCTAGGTTGTCCTCATATATCCCAGCTCCTAGGTTGTCCTCATATATCCCAGCTCCTAGGTTGTCCTCATATATCCCAGCTCCTAGGTTGTCCTCATACCCCAGATCCTAGGCTGTCTTCATATACCCCAGCTCCTAGGCTGTCCTTATATCCCAGCTCCTAGGCTGTCCTTATATCCCAGCTCCTAGGTTGTCCTCATATATCCCAGCTCCTAGGTTGTCCTCATATATCCCAGCTCCTAGGTTGTCCTCATATATCCCAGCTCCTAGGTTGTCCTCATATATCCCAGCTCCTAGGTTGTCCTCATATATCCCAGCTCCTAGGCTGTCCTTATATCCCAGCTCCTAGACAGTTTCGACCATGGATTATTAATTTAAATAATCTCCGTTTTTGAAGATGTTGAAATTTGGTTTAACCTGAGGGTAGCCTCGTGGTGGACCGTCGTTGTCTCTCAACAAATTTGATTCGTGGATAATATTGCCTCTAAATCATTATATGCTGAAATTCATACGATTTTGATGCACTGATTTTAATCGATACACCTGAGGTGACAATGTGTGTGGAGATAGTGATGATATATCAACAAGTTTTCACTACGAAACAAATTTTACCAAAAAGTTTATCATGATTTTTCATTGTTTCTCACTAAATTTCGGGCGCCGATTCCTCAAATGTTATTATTTTTTATCCGCAACCGTTAAAAATTACACTTATAATTATGATTTTTAGTATCTGGAAAGTCACTTTGTTGTGAACAGCACTTGCAGCTACATATCTCAAATTATTTTTATTCATATCTAATTTCTCAATTTCTTGCTTTGGATTGCTTTCTAGAGCGGTTAATCTTAACTTTTTGCAATATGGCAAATAAACAATGCAGAAATTCGTCAAATACGTTCTCCTATGTTTATGGATATTATATTTATTTATGTATTTATATATGTACAAGAAAGTACATTGGGGGTTAAGTGAGAACATAGAGTTTAAGTTGGAATTACAATTTTGTAAAGCCACTAGCTTTATATGTTGGACCAAAGCAGATATCACATAATTGTGAAAGATGTCAAATTCTGGATAGCAAATAGACTGTACTTTGGCATGCCTATGAGTCACCAAGACAAGCCTTAGCTCCCCTTAAGTAATATATGGAAGCTGTCAGTCTACTCCAGAATGATGGTCAAGAGGTGCGAGAAGAGATAAGTTCTTTGCTATTTCCAGAATATAAAAACCACCCAAAACCACCACAACAACTGCTATTTATGCATGATAGATGTTTGCAAAGTGCAGGAGAGTTAAAGGAAGGCATATATAGTGGTATATATTAGTTGGACCTCAAGTAAATGCCTCTTATAGTGCCTCTTATACTCTTAAATGCCTCAAATGCGATGTTGAAGTTGAAAATTGAGCACCATGGAAGGGGAAGTATGGTAGGCATTGTGCTGTATAGTTCATGGATTTCAAGGGACTCACAAATATCCTAAATACAAGACAAGCCTTAATGAATAAGCCTTGCCCTGTATTTACCCTAAATAAAGGGCAAGGATGACAAGGTTCATTCAAAGCTATAACAACCCTGGCTGTTACATGTTTTTAAAAAGATTTTTTTTGTTTTTTTTTCATCTTAGTGTTTCCTGGAACAAAAAGAACAAACGTACCTTAATTGGGTGAAGACATGTCCCTCGAAGAGCTTAAACCCTACCTGTAATGGCATGTAAACGAATTATGCAAATGCTTTACAATTTTATAAAATATTTTTTTAATATTATTAAACACAATAAATTCTTCACGTGGATTATAATCATATTATATATATATATATATATATATGTCGTACCTAGTAGCCAGAACGCACTCCTCAGCCTACTATGCAAGGCCCGATTTGCCTAATAAGCCAAGTTTTCCTGAATTAATATCTTTTCTCTAATTTTTTTCTTATGAAATGATAAAGCTACCCATTTCATTATGTATGAGGTAAATTTTTTTTATTGGAGTTAAAATTAACGCAGATATATGACCGAACCTATCCAACCCTACCTAACCTATCTTTATAGGTTAGGTAGCCGAAAATGTTAGGTTAGGTTACGTAGGTTAGGTTGTCGAAAAACAATTCATGAAAACTAGGCTTATTAGGCAAATCGGGCCTTGCATGGTAGGCTGAGAAGAGCGTTCTGGCTACTAGGTACGACATATATATATACATTATATATATATATATATATATATATATATATATATATATATATATATATATAAAGCATATGAGAGCGAGACTTACCTTGTCTTGAAGAAGTACTGGTAGTGGCGGCGACATTCTCCCATCAAGAAACTTATATTATTTTCACTCCTCAAATATTATGCCACTAAGAGGTGTTGTCAAACCTTGACTGATCTTGTGAGACGTCACAAGCACTCAACACGAAGTGGTTGAAGGAGTTATTACATGATGATGTTGACACAGTGGTGAAGTATAGCTGGCAGAGAGCATGGCTTCCACTAGTTTATGCCTCACAAATCACTAATTTCTCCTGAGTTAGCATTTAGTTGTGCATAAGAAGAGGAGGAGCGTGTCTAGTTGCAGTGTCTGGCTACACAAGACGCCAATAATTAGAGCACGGGCGCCGGATATAACATTTAGAAGTGAGGAGTTCCGCCACACTCACCCCCACCACCTGCTGCTGCTGCTCTCAGCCGCCAGACTCAAAACATTGACATAATGCTTCACTCGCTTCACGTGTTCGAACTGCTCTTTTAGGAATTCTTCAATCATGTACTTTTAAATGCAACGACACGTCCTCATAAACAGCGGCCAAATACTCATTAATCCGGGCGCAAAATTTTCTTGTTAACGAATGACAACACATTATACGCGGGCAAAATCTTCCTGTTAATGAATAACAACACATTATACACGCCTCACAACTAATGCCGCTAAAATGTTCTCTTCTCGAACAGTCAGTCCTTCGCTGAATTGTTCTGCTCGAACCACATATTGTAAACAGCCCATCCTCGTGTTGAGGTGGTACTTATAGTAACGATGACCACCATCCTTCATATGTTGATGTAATAAACAATTAGAAAGTAGAAATCTGTGCTATTGAATTTAGACAAACCGGAAAAGTTTTTGTATTGATGTTGCAAAGATACCTTAACCTATGAACAAATCCAAATAAGGATTTCCATTCCATTAAGCTAGCCTAACTTTCCTAGGCCCAATACACGCTGAGGCCTAATATAGTACGTATGGGCTATATTAGTCCTAGGAATATTTTAATTTGCTTTTTAGCTTCATTTTTTTCAGTTAATACTACTAAATTCTACTATCTAATTGTCCAGTATGTCCATGTAAGTACTACGGTCCACATAATTTCAAAAAGTACTATCTAACAGGAGGCTGGCTTGCTGTCTCACTAATGTACGAAAAATACAAATAATTATCAACAGAATCTAAAACCTAATTAATAATAAACTAGATCTAACCAAATTCTAATAAATAAAAATATTAATTTACATTTGAGAAAAACCTGATTTTGAATCAATAATACAATTAAAACTAGTGAATGCGCCTCAATGGTCGGCCGCACCTAGATCCTTGTTCTACCAATCAGTCCCAGTGATTGGGCACCAGTCCTTCCCTTTGTTCTGCCCCAGTGATTGGGCACCAGTCCTTCCCTTTTTTCTGCCCCAGTGATTGGGCACCAGTCCTTCCCTTTGTTCTGCCCCAGTGATTGGGCACCAGTCCTTCCCTTTGTTCTGCCCCAGTGATTGGGCACCAGTCCTTCCCTTTGTTCTGCCCCAGTGATTGGGCACCAGTCCTTCCCTTTGTTCTGCCCCAGTGATTGGGCACCAGTCCTTCCCTTTGTTCTGCCCCAGTGATTGGGCACCAGTCCTTCCCTTTGTTCTGCCCCAGTGATTGGGCACCAGTCCTTCCCTTTGTTCTGCCCCAGTGATTGGGCACCAGTCCTTCCCTTTGTTCTGCCCCAGTGATTGGGCACCAGTCCTTCTCTCTGTTCTATCCCAGTGAATGGGCACCAGTCCTTCCCTCCGTTCTATCCCAGTGATTGGGCACCAGTCCTTCCCTCCGTTCTATCCCAGTGATTGGAATAGAGCGGAGGTGGTGTGGTGGTAAGACACTCGCCTGGCGTTTCGCGAGTGCTTTGGCCAGGGTTGGTATCCTCTGGCCGGAGAGGATTGACTGGGCACCAATCCTTAATTGTAGCCTCTGTTTACCCAACAGTAAAATGGGTACTTTCTGATATGATTTGATTTGGCGGGTCGTATTCCAGGGAATATTAGGATTAAGGACCTGCCCGAAACGCTATGCGTGCTAGTGGCTGTACAAGAATGTAAAAACTCTTGTAAACATAAATAAATAAATTAATAAATAAATAAAGGGATAGTGGCTCTCAGATAAATAATAATGCCAGATGTTTCAGGGATCTTCCCTATATAATTGTATTGACTATTAAAAGTACATTTTCTTAATCAATCAGTTAAATAACTTATTAAATTTTATTATATATTTTAAATTATTATTAAGAATATATTCTAAGATACATATCTTATCGCTGCCCGAAACGCTTTGCGTAATAGTGGCTTTAGGTATTGTATGTACTAGCTCTATTTATAAATCTATCAATTTTTGTAAAATCTCTTGTATATATGTACCTTACCTGAATAAACATTTATTTATTATTTATATAGTTGAATTGCTTTGTAGCGCGGGTCCCTGAGATAAACACAGAGACCCTCCTCGCAGGTGGTGGTGGTAAGGCTCGTGGATCTCCAGCTCTCTTTACGGAAATATGGGACGAGGGGACGAAGATGGCGACACGGGGACTCGAGAATCAAAACGTCGACGCAAAGCCGGGCCAGAGTTGACCAAGAAGCCTGGAGCAGCCGGAGAGGCTGAGAATGCGACCCCGACGCCCCCGACGCCGGCCCGCACCCTGGCCAAGGAGAAGACTGTCACCATCACTGATTCTTACCAGGTAGGCCAGCATGAGACTCAAGGAAACTGTAGAAGGCCTGTTGGCCCATATGTGGCAGCTCCGAATTATGTCCACCAAACTCGTTCACATAACCACTATAGTGGCATGCGTTCACCAGTTCTGCGAACACATCATGCTGATTGATACCAGGTGAGCCAGGATGGATGCTGTCCTGTCTTCAAATAACTGTTTTGTTCACAGTACGTTTCATATCTGTGAACCTTTTTTCCGCATATATGCGCTAACTTGTTTTTTCTAGTGCTTCGTATTGCAATAAAATAGAATTATTCAATTGAAACAAGTTGTTTTTCAGATAATAAATTAAGAATATTAATAAACAGAATTTTACTCGCAAAGTGACTAAGATATGAACGATGTAAAACCAAAAATAGTTGAGAGTGGATTTCATAAATTGTGCCTGTAGCTGATTTGTGCTGTCTTCAGATTATTATCTTTTTTAAGCTCTATATAAAGCTTAAGTACAGTATGTATTTGTTTCTTTTGAATAAAGACAATAATCTAAATCTCGCCTATTACCATGTGATAATGTTTTACATGTTCCCAAACTGATATTTAACATTTCAAGTTTAGAAACAATTATTTTTATAATTGTGTAAGTAACTCACTTTCTCAGATACATGGAGCATCTTATCCAGGAAGATCAGAATAATGGAATGAGTTATTAAGGTGCAGTGCATAAAGTTGTTCTGAGAATGACTAAAAAATTTGTGTTACTTTCACTTCAGGAATTAATGATAAATACATTTAGTTCCTGTTTTTCACTTAAAGCAGCATGTGCCAGCAAGCTGCTAAATATTATGTTTGTAGCATTTGCTGTATATATGTTGCAGCAATAATAATAGTTAAGAGTGGCTAGATAGCTTTTAGATTCAATGTTATCTCCTTTTCCAACTCCATTCATAAAAGCATTTGCATTTGGTCGTAAAAATACAATTGTATGCTGCAATGCCAGTTTCTACCCAACTTAGTAATTTCACTACCCGCCCACAGTTAAATAGGGGCGGTTGAGTAAACAATGTGCCTGCTTCACGTGTTCACATTCCAACTTGAGCTAACTAGATTACTAAATATGTTAAGTAAATGATATCGTTTGAGTAATGTGTTAATAGAAACTAAAAGAATTTCATCTTGCAGGCAAGTTTGGACCATGAATGTCTGGAGGCTCAAGAGAGAACAGAGGAAGAAGACCAGAAGCTTGTGGCTGCCATTATGCAACAGATACGATCTCTGATGAAAGAAATTCTCAAACTGAAGCTTGACAGGCCAGACCAGGTAAATACTTCTTAATAAAAAAATCTACTTTACAGTATTATGCATCATGTAACTATAATTGAATGAATTGCAATAGAACAGTACCTACAGTGGGCCAGAAATAATTGGCTACTGGACAACCTAGATACTGTACCTGTATAAAGAAACAGGGTCTTTATATGTTGACCAGACCACACACTAGAAGGTGAAGGGACGACGACATTTCGGTCCGTCCTGGACCATTCTCAAGTCGATTGTGAGAATGAACAATCGACTTGAGAATGGTCCAGGACGGACCGAAACGTCGTCGTCCCTTCACCTTCTAGTGTGTGGTCTGGTCAACATACTTTAGCCACGTTATTGTGACTCATCGCCTGCATAGGGTCTTTGTATGACTTAGATGATATGATACTGTATTCTGAACCAACTCAATGCAGATCCCACTTTTCTATAAATTTGTTGCCAAATCATGCAGAGACTTAATGGATAAGAGAGGTGGACCATCTCTGACTAAATGGTGTGCATGATCATAAACCTGATCATACTCAGATTTATGGGAATGGAGTCCTGGATATTTCTATTGTCTGTTTAATCTGAAAGTTCAGATAATCAGGGTCTCGGATTAACCATAAAATGGCTAATCCAAAATAATGTCGCTTGCTAGGTATCTGGACATCCTACTGTCGGGGCCGAAATAATGGGTAATTTACTAATTTCAAACGTAAGTTACATTGATATAAATATGTCAAGTACTGTACTAGATATTTTTCATCCAGTGAAGATCATGAGTTGCAGATACAATTTAGTAAACTATTGTTAAATCTCTTATAATGCAGTACCTATTTACACTATAATCTGGCAACCTGTCCTTTCAAAATAGTACATCGCATTTTGACATATAATTCCCCAATGGCCAAAATACAATGTTTTATAAATCATAGCGACTCAAAATTTATGGGCTGTCATGTTTTTGGTTAGGTTAAGTTCTGGCAATTTAGCACACCATTTTTGTAATGTGGCAGCTCGCAAGGATGGGTGGAATCTGGTATGGGTATGGACCTACATACATGGGTATGTGTTAACGTGCTGATGGTGGAGAAGGAAATGAACTGAAAAGAATTTTGCAGAGGAGACAGTGTGAATGAGCGAGTGTGTGAGGATGAAGTGCAAGGGTCCTGAACCTGGTGTCGGAGAGGCTGCATGATCCAAGTAAGTTCAGTAAAATTTCTGGTTTCAACTCTTCATGCCGTAGCTCAGTCGATTAAGGCAGCGTCTGGGATGCTCTCGGACACAGGTTCAAATCCTCTTCACGGCCCTTGTGGATTTGTTCAAGAGTATTATGTGTTTGATGTGTCAGTGTGTTGAAACACTTCTTCACTGATTTAATCACCTCTCATAGATATATCAGTTGTCACACGATATTTCACTCTTCTCACATTATCAAATCTAATCATGTTCACATTAGCATCTCTTTCATCACTTCCACCCATTAGAAGAAGCCCCCACCAACTCTCCTCTTCACCATTTACCATTTTACCATTGCTATCTTGGGCATTCCCATATACCCATCAGCGTCTCCCTGCTACACTTCCTTATTATTTTCAAAAGATTTTACTGTTTTCAAAATAATTTTCTTTCATTTTCTCTTTATCTCTTCATTTACTTTTTTTTTTTTAGTTTAGCCATTTCATATATCTTTGGCACTTATACACTTAAGTTTTTTAATAATCTACGTTCTAATCTAATCTAAGTTAATAATTTAACGTTCTAAATAATCTAAATAATCTTTAGTTTTCCTGCATCTATCTCATTCACTCTGTATTCATAAAATGCACTTCTTTTTGTATCATCATCAATACTCCTGCTACCATTTTATCAACCCAACAATTTTATACTTCTACCAGTTTGTACAATTCTGTGCACACTTCCTGGGCATTCTTAACCAAACAGTTCTTGTTTACATCCCACATGACAGACACTGAGGTTCCTTTGTACATCACTTCCACCCATTAGACTGTAAGGGTATTATTTCTCTTTCTCTTTCTATTGAGTCTCTTTCTCCAAGATCACTCTCAACTCTTTTTCTTGTGTTCATTTCATCAGTTCTCTCTCTCAACTTATCCATTTTTAGTCTTTTACCTCTGGAATCTTTATGGAGAACATTTAATCTTTTGTCACCTAGCTTTATCTTACATAGTACCAACATGTGCTCAGATAATATTGCACAGTATTAAAGAACATTTCTTCATAAAGTGCATAATTTTATAATGTATAGTATCATAAACATAAATATAGAATAACACAATTTTTTGTTTCAGTGGGTAAACGAGGTAGAAGAGCGACGCATCCAAGTGCTGATGCTGATGCTATCATTTCGGCGTCTTAGTCGAGTGCAAAAGGTAAGAAAGAGGAGCGTCTTTATCAAGTTTTATAACTTATGCATAATCCAACATAGTTTGTATGATGCTGTAATTTAAGTGCAGTATTTGATCACTTCAGTCCAGCTCACCTTTTCACTATTGTATTCCTCGTTCTAGCATTGTCTTGCATTCAGTTCTTATTTTGTTCATAATACTTTTACCTCCTTAATTTACTGAAGTTAGTAATTTTATTTTGTTAATAGATCACCTCTAAACTGCATTGAACTGCATTTTTCTCATTGCTAAATTTCATTCACCTTTCACATTGCCTAATTTTCACACATTTAACAATAACATGTTTAACTTGGCTGTTTCCTTTCTTCACATGATTTATTCAGCACTAGGCAGGTTTATTTTCAATACAGTATTTTAATTTTGATGTTCAATATTGACTGTTAAATAAATATACTGTATCTATAAATTCATTTGAGCACCTTTAAACAGAATTCAACCAAAATTTAGCATGATGCTAATCAACATCTACAGGGAAATTGGAGTCTATAAGCAAGCATGTTGTGGACCCCAAAAGCCATAGGAATGCCCTAAGATGCCCTAAATGTAAAAAAAAAAAATATTTAGAAAATGGCCCATGTTAAATCTCATGTAAAAATTGCATACTGTATAGTGAAGATCCATTCAGATGAATATTGTGTGTAGAAAAATTCTTCACCCTGGCATTTCCCAAGTTGAGGATCATGTGTTGTGAAGACTGTTTAAAGATGATCTTCATCCAAGTATAGCCTGGATGATAATTACGTATAAATGATTTTCACTATATATTAATATCTATATATAGGGAAGATTATTGTGTAATGAAGATCTTTGCCCATCCATGGTTTGGATGAAGATCTGATATGAAGATGTTACAGTGATGGAGATTGTGTGAAATGAAGATGCTACAATTTGTAGTGAAGATATACCCTATAAATAACTATGCACAATTAGATTTAATAAACAAAGTTCATGGTTGGTCAAGGAGAAAGGGAAACCTTGTTTATCACCTGAACAACAGCACATCAGTTGTATCATAATTTCACTCCTACAGGTTCGAGTACGTGACTCCCGAGAAAAAACAGCTGAAGCTCGGCAGAGTGTTGATGGCGTGACATTGCAGTTGCAGAACCTTCTCTATGAAGTGGCCCATCTGAAGAAGGAAGTTAGACGTTGTCTTGATTTTCAGTCGGCTGACCAGGAAATAGATCTTGTTCCTGTGGAGCAGTTTTATGTTGAGGCTCCCGAGTACATCAGTCGACCAGTAAGGCATTCCAACTCATAATGTGCTTGTGTCATTAGATCTTTTGCTGTTTTACTTTTACTGTACTGTATGTAGACTACATGGGGTAATAGTAGTTTTTTTTAATATTTCCCGAAGGTTTTAAAAACAATAAATGAAAAGTGTGATTGTGACTCCTTTCTCTAGATTAAGAATAAAGGTATTTTTTATGTACATAACAAATTTGGTTATGTGGAACACTCCTGATATTATTTAAATATCCAAATAATATTTGAATATTTCTTTTATTAAAAAATTTATTTTATTCTTTTATTAAAGATTTATATTTTGTTTATGTTCTTTAATTACATTTTTTACTTTGCTGTTGCCCAACCACTTGGGGTGGACAGTAGAGCGGCGGTCTCACTTCATGCAGGTCGGCGTTCAATCCCCGACCGTCCAAGTGGTTGGGCACCATTCATTTTCCCCTGTCCCATCCCAAATCCTTATCCTGTCTCCTTCCCAGTGTTATGTAGTCGTAAAATGGCTTGATGCTTTCTCCTGATACTTCCCTTCCCCTTGCTGTTGTCTGTATTGTTTCATTGTACCTTTCTGGTGGGTAATTCTTAAGTTATCTTGCATTTTGTGTTCCTTGTGTCTCTGAGAGAGGATCAGGGTTGGCCTCGGGTCTCCGTTAGACTCTTCAAGATTAAAAGGGCCTGGTGTGATTTAAAATGGATGGAACTAACTTTATCATATATCACCAACTTCTTTCATGGGCTTTTCACTACCAGATGCGCAAGGACACTTTTCGGATTGAAGGGCATGTTTGCCCATGAGTATTGATTTTACACATGCATATTTAAGTAATTCCAATGCAAATTGCAATTAGGAGAAAATCCAAAGTATTATTCTTGTCAATAACACTGAGAGGGTTAATATGGCAACTGAAAAAGCAAAATCACTGGTACAGTACCTTCTTTAATAACAAAAAATAGTGAGACCAACAATGCTTTATTACCAGGTATGAGGTACTGTATATAGAAATTGTCTATAAACTGTAGGATAAATTTAAGAATGTATAAACATAAAAGCAGTAATCATGTACAGTACTGTATATGTATATGAATCCAAAGTCCATCAAACTTGATGGTAGGTGAGTACTGAGTGTCTGAGCCACCACACTACAGAGGTAGATGACAGTGATTTATGAGTGAGCCCCACTCTGTGTGTGCATCCTGGCCTGATGTATGGTGGTTTCATCATTTCCCATCTGTCTGGCAACTTAGGCTACAGGGTTACCATCCTGGAAAAGGCTTTGGATTATACATTTACAATAGCAGTATCTGTCACACAGTTGTTCAGGTTTAATATATCTGTCTATATGCATATGTCTAATAAAATATTATTACCTGTATTTTCACTTGTGTTGCTTATTCTAGGCTGATACTGTGGAGGATCCACATGAGCAGCGCTTGGCTCGTCTTCAGTGGGAGCTGGAGCAGAGACGTGACCAAACACAGCTGTTTGACAAACTCACTCAGGAAAAGGAGGCTGTTGCAGAAACAATAAATGAACAAGAACGTAAGCTAGCATCACTAGCTCCAAGGATTAACTCAATTTTGGAGGTAATATCTTTTATGATAAATTTGTATACATCAAATTCAGTTAATCATCAGTTATTTGCAAAAAATGCTCTTAACCATGTTAACACTTTCGCGCTATCTGGACGCGCCGGCGCGTCCCGTTTCGTCTAACGCTAACGCATAGTGGACATAAAGTTGAGTCCTCTTTTAAAATATTTGTATAAAATTCAATTTTTATCCGATTTACTTTGGGTTTGTTTCAAACTGCGCGCTATGAGGCTCTCTTTCTCACCACTAGGCTGCATGGTACAATAAGTTCATGAAAGGTGTGGATAACTTCGATCAAATGGTATTTTGTCCCAAACGGGTTGCAGGTGGGTGACTTTAGCCGTTTATACTGGTAATGCTTCCCCCATATCATGTATTATATGCATATGTCTGTTTAGGGAATTTTATTCCGATCAATATACAACCAAAAATAACTGTGTGCAACAAGTATAAACTTGACAAACATAACAAAAGTAAAAACATTTCGTGTGTGTTTGACGCTCACTGATATGTTCCAGCGTTGTTTTATATTTGGCGCTATTCTAACTTACGCTTTGTTGATATTTTTTACCTATGGGCACATAGAACATTCTATTGCGAACACATTGACACAAAAATGAATGACGTACATAGAAAATTAATGTCATGAGAGTGAAATAAGTATAAACTTTCAAAGCGCCGTGCGTCGTCCCGTCACCGATACCGGGTAACAATTTCACCACTTCCCACACTCTTGCGGGCGGGCCGCATCATTATTCTACGCTTATATTCATATCACCGTGTTGGGAATTTCATTGCGAGTCCATTGATACCAAAATTAACGCTGTAGAATAAGTGTGGAGGTGATTACAATCCCAAGAGTAAAAACATTTTGTTGCTGATGGGCGCTCACGGCGAGTCATCTTTGTAGTTATTTATTTGGTGCTGGTATCCCTATACGTTTCGTGACTTTTTTTACTGATGTTCTTCTAGAGAATTTTATTGCGAACACGTTGGTACCAAAATGAAATACGTAGCATGAGAACTAAGGTCAGAAGAGTAAAAAGAGTATACACATTTTTGTTTTTACGCTTAAGCGATAAAAACGCTGCGCGCACATTCGGTTGGCTGAGTGACCTTTGCGGAAAGCGCGAAAGTGTTAAAAATGGGTCACATGCCAGCTAAGGTCCCAGAAAGCATCTTAGATAACTAAAGATTTTGTGGAGTAAGAAAGAGGATAAATATTTAAATAGTCAATTTTTTCACCAGAATTAAAAAGTTGGAAAGTGTGTTGTGATGATGACAGAATAGCATTGATCCAAATTCATTAATTTGGATCAGCAGAGTGTTGTGAATGACAATATCATACCCATAACTTGAATGCTACAAGTACCAAGTACAGTCATTGGCAGATCCAAATATCTGTGATCCCATCCCAAGATCACATGCAAAACAAACCGTCTTCAGTAGTATTTTATTAAAGATCTCGTAGGTAAGAATAGATCCTATACAGTACTGACACACACACTCGAACACACACATGCAATTCATGCACATTCACACACATTCACACAGGCGCTCTTGCCTGTCGCAGTTGCTGGACCACTATGATATGGCATTAGATGCTATGGAAGACAAACAAAACGCTGATGTAATTTACACAGATTTCGCAAAAGCTTTTGATAAATGTGACCATGGTGTTATTGCACATAAAATGCGTTCAAAAGGAATTACCGGGAAAATAGGCAGATGGATCTACAATTTCCTGACTGACAGAACCCAATGTGTAATAGTCAACAAAATAAAATCCAGCCCATCAACCGTGAAGAGCTCAGTCCCCCAGGGTACTGTGCTTGCTCCAGTACTTTTTCTCATCCTCATATCGGACATAGACCAGAACACAACCTATAGCACTGTATCATCCTTTGCAGATGACACTAGGATTTTCATGAGAGTTGGCAACATAGAGGACACGGCAAACCTCCAATCAGATGTTGATCAGGTCTTTCTATGGGCTACAGAAAATAATATGGTATTCAACGAGGATAAGTTTCAGCTCATGCGATACGGAAAAATTGAAAACATAAAAACAGGAACCACGTACAAAACGCAGGCAAATCATAACATAGAACGAAAAGGCAATGTAAAGGACCTGGGTGTACTCATGTCGGAAGACCTTACCTTTAAAGAACACAATAAAGTAGCCGTCACAACTGCAAGAAAAATGACAGGTTGGATAACAAGAACTTTTCACACTAGAGATGCTATACCGATGATGATACTTTTCAAAACGCTTGTGCTATCTAGAGTGGAGTACTGCTGCACAATGACAGCCCCTTTCAAAGCTGGAGAAATTGCTGACCTAGAGAGCGTGCAGAGATCCTTTACTGCTAGAATCCACTCAGTAAAACATCTAAATTACTGGGACCGACTAAAGAGCCTAAATCTGTACTCCCTTGAGCGCAGGCGGGAGAGATACATAATAATTTACACGTGGAAAATAATTGAGGGGCTGGTCCCAAACCTGCACACAGAAATAACACCACATGAGACCAGAAGACATGGCAGGATGTGCAGAATACCCCCGTTGAAAAGCAGAGGTGCAACAGGTACTCTGAGAGAGAACTCTATCAACATCAGAGGCCCGAGACTGTTCAACACGCTTCCACTACACATAAGGGGCATAACTGGCAAACCCCTCACAGTGTTCAAGAGAGAACTGGATAAGCACCTCCAAAGGATACCTGATCAACCAGGCTGTGACTCATACGTCAGGCTGCGAGCAGCCGCGTCTAACAGCCTGGTTGATCAGTCCAGCAACCAGGAGGCCTGGTCGACGACCGGGCCGCGGGGACACTAAGCCCCGGAAGCACCTCAAGGTAGCCTCAAGGTAGGTACTACAAGCACATTCACACCATATACGGCACAGTGCTGCATCAGCCAGGAGCTCCAGAAATATTCATTGCATAAGTATCTTATGAAGATTTGGGAGTTATTTGAATGGAGTCCCAACATGTATGAACAGTCAGAGAATTGAAGGAATAAAAAGGAGGAAACAAATATGTTGTGTGTGTGGTATAAGTTTGGATTAAAGTAGTGAAGTTTAGTATTCATTACCATCTGCAAAATTTTGGTTTAACCCTCAAACCGCGCATATCATATATAAATGATATCAGTGACAAAACCGAAACCGCACACATCATTTATATATGATTTCGTGTCTAGCGATATAATTTAAACGCCCCGCATGGGATAGGGGCAGCTATAGTACAGCCACGACCGATAGTTGCCAGATGCCACCTAGAAAAAAAAATCCAGGCCAACATTCTTGGGTGTTACAGCGTCAGTATTGAGCAAGCCACCAAGGCTGGCGCACGCAGCACGAGCTCACAGCACCGCTGTTCAGCTTGTGACCACAGCATCGCCTACAAATACCATAATATAAATGATACTGCTACTATTTAGCAGTGATAGTATTACTGAAGCCCCCTGACTGTGATAAAACTGACCAGGATTCTGATAATAGCAGGATTGTGGTGATATTTAGCATTGTCTTCTGACTGTGTGTGGCCACCATTTATTGACTGCACTCACCATACCAGCTTAGTGGTTCGATATGGTGAACACAAATGTAGATACTTATATATAACGTGTGTATAGTGTGAGATAACAGCGAGAGGAGTAGGTTGGGAGCCGCCATTTTGGTGAGGGAGGAGCGTCGTCTGCATGACTTGGCATGTTGTTTACTGATGGCCACTATGGTCTTTGGGCACCATACCAGCTTATTTGTTCAGGTATAGTGAATAAAACAGGTAGATACTTATATGTAATGTGTGTATATAGCGTAATAACACTACAAACAATATTGTTGGATGACAAATATTAGTGCGTCTCGCCTTGAGGGCGGCCGCCGATCAGCTGACTGTGTGAGTAGCTACGTCTTATGGCCTTTACTCACCATACAAGCTTAGATGTACAGTTATGGTGAACAAAACATATAAATACGTATATATAACGTCTGTGTATAGTGAATAAATACAAAAGAGTATTGTGGGAGGTGAATGAGGGTGAGTGAGGTGGTGTTGAGGGAGGGAGTGGCAGTGAGTGGCTCGCTGGTGTTTGGCAGTCACTCCTCGTTGCTTTTTGACTCACACGACCAACTTAGTAGTTCGTTATGGTGTACAAAACATGCAAATACTTATATATAACCTGTGTATATAGTGTAACAACAGCAAAACTATTTGTTTATTGTTTTATGAACATAATAATTGAATCACTAATATGCACACCATAATTTTGAGTACAGCGATGGTTCACACATTTTATAATATAAATATACCACAATTCACTGTATGGAATAATATTACTGCAAAAAAACTTAAGAAAAAATCAATCAGAGACATTGAAATAATTAGGTAATAATATATTTGTGGCAACTGCCGTCTGACAGCTCGGGCGGAGTAGACCTCGTCTGGCGAAGGCTCTGCCAACGCCCCTTTTTTGCCACACTTCCCTACCCTATTGCGGCTAAAATATGCCACCTACGATTTTTTTGTTATTTTTTCCGTGATCAGGGAACAAAAATGAACACTTCTATAAGACGAAAGAATTTTTTGGAATTTTTTTTTGTTGCGCCTGTGGGTGTGAATTCCATTTGGGCCCCTAGCAGTTTGAGGGTTAAAGTGAGGGAGGAAAATAATTCTAAGGCCAGTGTAATAATGAAGAAACTCATTCCTCTGAATGTTTGATGATGATGCAAAAATTATGAGAAGGATTAAGACAAGAAGAAAAGTGGCAAGAGACTACAAGATGACCTAGACAAACTGAATGAATAGTCCAACAGGTCCTTGTGTCTTGCAGATGACACAAAAATCAGCATGAAAATTACCTCTGCTGAAGACATTGAAAAACTACAAGCAGATGTCAACAAAGTTTTTGATTGGGCAGCAGAAAATAACATGATGTTTAACAGTGATAAATTTCAGGTACTCAGGTACGGCAAAAATGAGGATCTGAAACATAATACAGGGTACAAAACACAATCGAATCTTCCCATAGTAGAAAAACAGCATGTCAAGGATTTGGGAATAATGATGTCCGACGATCTAACGTTTAGGGAGCATAACCAAGCAAATATCGCGTCAGCCAGAAAAATGATCGGATGGATTACGAGAACTTTCAAATCCAGGGATCCCATCACAATGGTTGTACTCTTCAAGTCACTTGTGCTGTCCCGTCTCGAGTACTGCTCAGTACTCACTTCCCCCTTCAGAGCAGGAGAGATTGCTGAAATAGAGGGAATACAGAGAACATATACGGCACGCATAGACGAGATAAACACCTAAATTATTGGGGGCAGTAAGGCCAGAAAATAGTGCAAGATGTGAGGCCAAGACTCGGACGTAAGAGACTCGGGTACGACAAGATAGTAGTCCCAGTCAGCCTGACAGGAAACATAACGTGGGTAATGTAACCATGTGATTTGTCTTGTGAGGCATGTCAAGGAATAACTTGATGTAAAAGACTATTGCTTGGAACTGCCCACAGGCCCACATATCCATTACAACCCGGTTGGTCTGGCATTTCCTGTTGGAACTTGACTTAATTGTTTGTTAAAAATATTCAATATTGTTCAGGCACTTTCTTGTGTTGAGAATATTATATGTATTTTTATTATATGAATTCTTTCAGGCTACTCGTCCACTTCAAGATGCTTTGGACTTGCCAATAGATGCCAAGAGGGAGCAGCAGAGGATAGTACAACTACTGCCAAGTCCTCTGTACACTCTTTGGGTGCAGGTCAGTTGACCACTGAAGTATTTTCAATATGTTGAATATTGACACCTTGTTAAATTGTGGTTTATATTCTAAAATTAATGTACTGTAATATGTCATATATTGGATTATTTGTAATTCCCCATCTTGCTACTCAACATAAAATAAATGAAACCATATTTATACTGAGAAATATTACTATGAGACCTTAAAATCTGATTAGGTCCAAGATCAAAATATTTCGCTTTCGTTCCTTTTTAAGTGTAGATTTTGTTATTTGTTTTCAGTCATGTTATTGTGATTTATTCTCTGCATAAATTACCATCATTGATAATTATGTTGCATTCATGTTTTGAGTACATAGTTTGATTGTTACTACCCATACTTAACCAGGCATCATCATATGGGGAAGCATTTGACCCCAGCATTAAGGTTGAAGTCTTTGGAGATGTTGATGCTGCCAAGAAGCTCATCGTCAAAGAGGAAGATTCCAGAACTGAAAATCTGTCTGAGTCTGAAAATGATCAGGATCAACAGGAGGTGAGTGAATGTTGGCTATAAGCTAAACAATGTTGACCCACTTGTGTTTGGAGTTCTGTAAGTGTTTATATCTAATGTTAATGCTTGGGGTCAGGTAAGTGTATCCTGGTCACTAACTATGTAACACTATAAATAATGTAGGATAAAACCCAGACTTAGGTATTTCTGAAATTTATGTAAAGACTTACACCAAGTCTTTTGCATTCTCCTGTGTGCTTTGTCTAGGTCTGAGTATGTGGTATGAGTACAAAGCAAGCACTTAACTGCATTGTTAAAAATTGTCACAGGAGAATCTGTCTCGAAAGAAGCGCAATCGGAAGTCACAGAAAATGGATGCCGAAGACATAGATGATGGATTGAAGCAGATACTAGGACTACATCCACTCTTTGTTAAGATCAACGTTAACACAAAGGGTAAAGAACTAGTGTTTTTATTTGTGTACAGTGCGAACACTTATCCAAGTTAATGCATGCTGGAGGATGTCTATACATGATGGTTGGCTACATGTAGGATTTTGTCACATACTTTAATCAGGAATTTTGTGCGCATGCACACACACAATTATATTTTAATGTTCGATATATACAGCACATTATGGTCCTTCAATTCTAATGCATATAGAACTATATTTTTGCATCATAAATTATAATAAGTATTCCAATCTGAAGGAGATTAACACTTTGGCGTGCCCCGCCCGCCACCCCTCAACTGTGCGATTTGGGTCCCAGAGTTTCACGGGAGCGCGCGTTAATTCCGAAAAGTGTATACTCTCTTCAACTTTGTCACCTTAATTCTCGTCCTGCGAGATTAAATTTGGTATCATTGTGTTCGCAATAGAATTCTCTACAGCACTAAATGCATATAAACTTCAAAAGCCCGGCTAATTACCCGCAGCAAACGGAGAAAGTGCGAACGAGTTACCCAGGAGCGCGCAAAAGCGATAAAATGTGTTCACTCTTCACTCTCGTCACCTCAGTTTTCGTCCTAGGTCTTTCATTTTGATATCAATGGGTTCGCAATAGAATTCTCTAGAGGAACATTAGCATATAAAATAAAAAACCTGGTCACGCTCCACCCGCCGACGAGTTGAAGACGGGCCACGCATTAACCTCAAGTGAGCGCCCAGACGCCTTCCAGCTACACTCCCAATTCCTGCCCACAAATGCTTAGTATTTAGTATATGTAGTATTATAGTTTAGTGTTTTTTGTGTAGTTGTTGTACATCACATAAGCATTGTAGATAGCCATTTGCACAAAATAGATGGTCATTTTCTTCATCCATTTGTGAGTTTTTCTTATGAAGTGATAATATTTGATCATTTGGTCAAAGTGATCAACACCTTTCATGTTTGTATTGTAGTCACAGATGCATTCGGCTTGTTGACAGTTACCAAACAGTCCCCCCAAAATCAGATAAAAACCTGATTTTTGGCAATTATTTTAGTGGATGACGCAACGCTGCGTCATCCCCGAGATTACCGAAAGTAAACGGATGACGCAATGCTGCGTCATGACGGACTAAATTGTTAAGATAGCTTTGAACTCCACCAAGCCAAGTTAAAATTTCTGTTTGCTCATTTTTATTTATTTCTTTGAAGATGCTAGCATAAAATTGTAAATAACTTTTTAATATATTTGTAAATACAAATTAAATTTGTTGTGATAAAATACAAAACAAAATTAGTTGTTTTACTTGCGCTGTAAAAACTGAGTAACACGAACTCTCAACATAACTTTGGAGTGACCATCCTATATGATCTGAATTACTGAGTGATTACTGCATCTACTCCACTCGGAACATCCATCACCATTGTCTGAACCTGATCCAAGTCAAAGATTTAGTACTGTAAGTGCGTAAAGACAACTGCATCCACAAGAAGACGGCAGTTGGAAAGTAGGGAATATATAAGAATTAATGCTATAATGAGTGACTGGTTTGATATTAATGTAGATGTATGTCTGTATGACTTCAGTCTGGTTGTTTAGTATATACATGAATGGGGTTGTGAGGGAGGTTAAGGTCAAATTTCCAGGATTCGGGCTACAGAGACAAACAGCCTCACAGATCAGGCAATCATCAGGAAAGGCTGTCCGCAGGCTAGACCTGCCAGAGCAGAAGAACTCTTGAAATGAGTTAGTGGGTGAGTGATATTTTCTTTAATATCTGTCACTTCATTTCACTGTTTTGTTAGCTTGTTTCACTAGGCTGATTCCTCCTCGCTCCATACAAGTGGGAAACACAATTCAACCCCATTATATGGCCACATTTCCTCATGTGGTAATTTCATGGCACAATAATAATGTAATGTAACATTCTTCTTCTTTGTTGTTACTTCTGCACTCTGTAACTGTGTGTTTGTAACTAGCAATCAGCATTGATGTAAGGTTCCTGAGCCTTCCATTTTTATTATCCCATACATTCCAATCTTGTATAAAAGCCTACATAATGCTCAGTTCATGGTTATAAATCGCAGCCATTTATCTGTTATAAGGTACGTGTAATAGCTGGTGGTAGTTAAGATGGTCACTTTTATTCATAATTATTTCTTCATTTATGTTTGTTTTCTTTTTCCAGAGGGAAACAATGTGGTTATTGCATTTTACTATATGCAAACCTTACGTATAGTGACTGCAAAGTGCTCAGTGCACCTTCACGAAAAAACCAAGTCTGCTATGACGTAAGAATTTTACTGTATTATTAATTTTCCTCTTAGACTTTTACCAGAGGTAAAATCTTTTATGTTTTGTTGATAAAGAAATAATTTTGACCAACTGAATGCATCTCTATCTCTGTGCATGATTTTCCTTCCTGTAATGTAGAGTGCTGAATGACTTTGAGTCCCATCACTTGGCTTTCGGCCTTAATCACATTATTCCTACCCATGGAAGCCCTTGAAGCTCTTAAAGTAACACATCACATCCTAAAGTCCCAATTTGTAACTTGATTGTACTCAGAGTGTAGTCAGGCAACTTATACAGACAATACAGGAGTGTATCTAGTGAACAAATGGGTGTGGGTATAATAGCAGTCTGAAGTACAGTATAGTTATTTATATGTGGTGGTAGAGCCTTCAAAAAGAGGTGCAGTTTATAGTCAGTGCAAGTGGTTCACAATCAAAAGATCTAGGGTTTGATTCCCACCGGAGGACAGAGACTTTTGATCAGGCTTCCTTTCACCTAATGCCTCTGTTCACCAGCAGTAAATATGTACCTTAGAGTTAGGCAGCTGTCGTAGGGTGCATCATGGGTGAGGTCAGTGATTGGCCCATGGGAATCTTGATAGGCCTAACAGGCTTCCTGTCCTCTACAATAGCAAAGTATACCATATGGTTACCATACAGTTCTGCACAGTGGCTCCAACATATGGATTACTGTATATTGATCTAGACATATCTGGATTTAAGCGAAGTGTGAATTTCTGGAATTTTGCCCTTTCTAGAAATGTTTGACGGTGGCTCCCTCTTGCTAGCTGCCTGGTTGGCTCCAAGGAGGAGTGCACAGCCTCATTTTAAGGCATGCTCTTTATACTCTTGGTGTCAAAGACTAGTTTTTACCTTCAGAGTCTGATAAGCCTCTGCAGTATATGCTGTGTTATGGGATGGATTTGCCCCACTGAGCCCAGACTTGCTGGTGCAAGTTTGTGAGTATTATAAAATATGTTAGTAAATATAACGTTTTTAACAATGATAAAGATATCTGAACTTACTGCAAAAAGTATGCATTAAATGTAGGAGATGGTACATTAAATGAAGCACAAGAATACTGTTACAGTATAGCATTGATTATTTAATGTTACATTTTATATTGTGCAATGATTTTTCAAAATGTTCTGCAAGAGTTATTGTAGAAATAACTGCAATATATGGATTTACAGTATACAGTAGAATGACTGTTCTGTTCACTTTGAAAATATGCTGTTTTCAATAGTTTTGATAACAAAATGTATTCAGCAGTGTTTTCTTTAATTTACAATAATAAAAACACTAAAAGTTTAGTATAAAATAATGAGAAATAGCTAAATTAAGATTTAGTAGAATACAGAGGAGCCTTAATTCACAAATTTAATCCATTCCGGCACCGAGCTCGTCGTTTGAAATGCTCGTCTTTCGAAACAAATTTCCCCATTTAAATTAATGGAAATAAAATTAATCAGTTCCACCATAAAAAAACATCAATATGATATTTGATTTTTAAATAATGGAGCAGCCTACCTGACATACACTGAATACAGTACACTGAACGAACCTTTATGACAATTTTTTATTTATTTTTTTTATTTTTTTTTATTTTTTAGCAGCCTACCTGACATACACTGAACAAACCTTTTGACATTTGTTCTTTTTTCAAATTTTTTATTTTTTTTTAATTTCTAAAAAAAAAAATCAATGCTTTTGCAACATTACAGCAGTCACTCCTTTACATCCCTGCATCATTACCATCTTTTAATACAAAATCATTGATTTGCATTGTTGGAGGCATCTGGGAATTTGTGAGAACCAGTGGGAACGCTAGGAAGCACCACATGGTTTTCTCGTTAATGGAGCGAAAGCTCGTCAATCGAGACAAATTTTCGGCGAGTGGCGAGCTCGTTACTCAAAATGTTGGTAGATGGAGCTTCTCATCACTCGAGGTTCCACTGTACTTGTAAGAGTGAAAAGGGTCGTGCAAATCTGTCAGCTCAAGCGAGAGTACACTGTGCTTTTATACTGCTATGTCATGCCAGTAGAGTGGATTGTCATGGAAAATTTCTCTCTTTAGAGATGTGATCAGTGGAGATACACTCTTGAACTGTCTCTTCCCTGATGATGATGGGCAGACATCACCAAATCCGGCCAACTTCTTCCAGCTGAACCGTCTGCGGATTAATCTATCTGATCATCTCACTACGACTGGTAGACCATACAAGTGGGCTCAGACCTTGGCTGGTTTATCATTTTCAAATTCAAAACAGTCATGTGTTGGTGGTGAAGAGTCTCAAGAAATGGTAAGACAAAGTGTTTTCTTATTGTAGCATGTCTAATCTAGCATCATAATTTTGCTAGGCAATACAGTATATGTTTTCAGGGACTTGCAGAGAGTTGAGTGTTCTTGAAGGCCTGTTACCAGGATGTGAGAGATTATTCACAGGGTTGCTGCAAGGGTTACAGCTTAAAAACTCATTGGTGCACAAAGTTAATCACATTAATAATGGTAATGTAATAATAAAGATAAGTACTAATAATAATCATTTCATTTCGTAGTAAAAGTATAGTAAATTTGTTCGGTTTTATTGTGTTTTCAAAACTTGGGTCTTAATTTCTTAACATAGTTCTGGTAATAAAAATGTTGTCTGTATTGGGCCACAAGAATACAAGTTTGAAGAATATTGCAATATTCTTTGTCGGTGTGTGATGTCAAGCAGTGGTTAGTGCGGTTGTTGAGTACACATGAATGAACCTTCTAGAGGTCATTACTAGCTGGAGTGAACATTTTCCAGTGCACCAGTATGACCCTAATGTGAGGGCTTGGAAAGTTTGTTGCTGTACTGGTGCAGGATGTTGACCTTCCCAATGTAAGCATGATCCTTTTCATGGCGCCAATGAGCTCTTGCATTGGGGAGCAACCGAGTAGGGCTTTACAATTTGTGTGCTATCATGTCTTCATTTTTCCCAATATATTAGTTGTATTACCTTTATTCTTTCTGCTAACCTCAATTTCTTATGCTTCATCATCACCCATCTCATAAGTTAGCACTATGCCTTCTCTAATTTTATGTTTTGTAATGTATTCTACACCACTGTTATGAATTTCAATTTGGGTCTGACAAAAGCTGTAAGAAATTTTTTGGTCTATTTTCATTCTTATACACAAAGACTATATTGTCAATATTTATAAATTCTTATGTATATCGTATGTTCTTGCAGGTAGGCAGGATTACTCTCATTCTTGGAGTTTGTTCACTTTTTGTATCTAAGTAACTTACTCTCATTTTGATATGACTCATTTCTACAGTTAAAGCTGCTGAATTGGCCTCAACTACCTCTTCAAGTTTCTATGTCCTCAGGTGCTACTGATACTTATGACTTATTGACTGGGTACCAGTCCTTAATTGTTTGCCCCTTTTCACTCAGCAGTAGTTAAGGACCTGGTTGTTAACCGATTGGTGGGGTTCATGGTCCAGGGAAAACTTGTAAAGTAAGGCTCAACATGAGCTATGGTAAGGAAAAGCTTTAGGCCAGCTAACAGGAGTCAGATATCATCTACTCCTGTACCCACATGTGTAAGAAAACAAAAAGCTTTGCCCGTGTCTACTTTGTCTATGTAGATATTCATATTTCTGCAGCATTGCATATCTTGGCTTATTTTATTTGAGAGATGGACATAGATAGTTCTTCATAAATGACTGAAAATGCTTCATAGCATTTAAGGGAGTTCTGGTTTTAATTGTACCATGTTTTTTGCATTTCAGGCTGCAGGAGCAGGAATCTCTGGTGGTGACACTGAGGTTGTAGCATGGCAGGACAGTGCTGAGCAGATGCCTCACACCATTCAGGCAATTCGTCGCAGACTGCAAGCTAGACTGGCTCTACATGCACAGCTAGTCAACCTGGAAACTGTTAATTCAACTAGGTATGGTCACTTCAGTTTTCTTTATCATTATTATTGCAATCACCAGCATCAATCATCATCGATTCTGTATACAGTACTGTAAATCACTACTCAATGAAGGTTCCCTCATATCCTTCTGCTGCCACCTTTCTTAAGCTTTGTCTATGCATTTGTGCTTGCATGTATCTTTTCTGAACAAGTCTCTCTCAATAGCTCTTTTTAATCCTGACATAAATGGCATTAGGACACTGAATATGTCAGGCTTCTGGCTCACTTTTATACCCATGGAGGACACTTACCCTTGCAAAGCTTGACAACAAGTAGAGAACATACCTCAGTCCACCCTTTATTAAGAGAAACTGCCTGCTATGCAACATAAATACAAAACAAACAAACTCTCTACAATGCCAAGAATCTCATAACTACAGAAGCACCTGCTATCCACCTACCCTGGCTGCCACCAGGTAGCAGCTTTACTGACTGCAGGATCAAAGTAGGTATACACCTCACTTTTACATCTGGCACCACAATAGGTACATCGGCTGTGCAGACTGCAGTATTTTCAGTTAACTGGCCATCTTTAAAACTTTGTTGTCTCCAAGGTTTGCCTCAGTGTTATGAAAGTTTCTTTGAGTGTGTGAATGCTGGAAGATTGAGATATATGTTCCTTGATGCTGATTGTGAAAATCAACAACCACCAAAAATACCTAAACTAAGATTGTTGTGTACCCCCTTAACTGGTCCAGCTCTTCTTGCATCCACTTGAATCCAGCATCTGCCCCAGAAATCACAAATGAAAGAATTCCAGTTCAAAACATTTTTCCATGCAGTGTTGTAGAAAAACATGTAAAGAAATAGCCTAAGCTACTCTATCCCTTTGAGATGTATTTATTGCTTATCTCAATAAACATACTTGAACTTGAACTTATGTTGGAATGAAGTTCATACTACTATTGACCAAATTACTGTGCTTGTTGTTTCACCCATATTGGTATCGCCCATATTTCACCGCCTGTTGGTGCCCCCATATTCCCACTCCTCCACAAATTATATTTAGAAATTAAATGTTAAATTTGTATTCCTATGAAATTATAAAAATAAAGTAGTGTGTAGATATGAAAAAATTGGGACAAACTCCGTTGCTATACAGTACTCTGGGTTTAGGAACATGAATATATGCATTTGTCACCACCAATTCTCTGCCCTGAGAAACCACACAGCAAGGACAGGAGCTTTGATTGTGTTTTGAAGATTGTATTCTGGTCTGGTTGGAGTAGGCAATGGCTAATGTGTAGGGATCAAGAAGGCTTCTTGGGTTTCTCTTCCTCTCCACTGTGGTTTCCCAAGTGGGTCTAAGCGTGGAGCTGGGTTCCAAACCCAGTTCCTCCATTTGTTTGTGGGTGGGATTTGGTGTTTTGTCTTGGTTCTCCTTGGAGTTTACCGGATATGCTTCAGTATATTGTACTCTGTTTAAACACAAAGTTTTGTCTCCTGTCTATCAGTATAGTTCCCATTTTCTGTGTTTGCAAACCAGTGATGAAATAAATAAAAATTGGTTGATTTTAGTAGCCTCTTGAATGAGCAGTTGATTGTACGGCTGCCTCTTATCATTTGCCCTGCACACACAAATGTTCCGGTAGGTGTTAGCCTCGGTGTCAGGCTGGAGTAAGTCGAGTTGAGCTACCAATAAGTGCAATCCCAGGAATATTTTGTTGAGCATAATGAAACACCCTTTTCTGGACTGCACCTCATTAGCTTCCTGTTCCCTCCCTTGTTTTCTAATCAGCCTTGTAAGGTATGTGCTTGTCATGTGTGTTAATAGTTCACTTCCACACAGTGTTCAGGTACCCCCCAACTGCCACCTGGTGGCAGTTATGGGTAGTTGGATTAGCGGGGGATTAAGTAGTCAAGAGAGTGGTTTGATGTTTGTAAGGATTGTTAAATGCAGTTCTTCTCAGTAGTGGGCTGGGGCCGGAATCATCGAGCAGTTATGCAAGAACACTGCTGTACTTACCTGTACATATTTTCTCAATCTTTGATAAATGTAAACAAAGCCACCAAAGATTCAAACAGTTTACAAGCATCGATACTTCCCAATCAAATGTTGTTATTGTTATAAATAGCTGCCAAAGATTGGGAAAAGATGTACAGGTCCGTAAGTACTTGCATAACTACTTGTTAAATCTGGCCCCTGATCTCTAGTCCCCACGAGCTTCCCACCATGTGGAAGGAACAAGACTGCTGGAAAAGGTAGTTGTCCATTGTGGGGAGAATTTGTCATGAGGAGCCTAACATATTTACTGTCTCCCCATCTGTGGCAGTGATAGGCAATGGGAACTACAATGAGGAGGAGTAGCCCAGAAAGCTGCATCTCCTTACACTCAACACTTTAAAATAAAGTGAATATGGAGTTGCAGATGTTTCTCTACTTCAGAAATAAACAAACAACTTGTTGAAGAAGATTGAAGTATTTGCAGAGATAAATTTAAATTTATGAATTCACTTCTGTGCAAACATGGAACAGTGAAAGGATACACAAGAGAATACAGCAGCACTGCTTGCTGTATTCTTGCTGTCACACATTTTTCCTTTAAAGGAAAAATGTCTACATCACTGTTGCCAGTGATGTAAACAAGGAATTTTTAATTATATACTTTACCTAACTTTCACCTGAAGAATCAAAACAAGTTTATCATATAATTTAGGCTGTTGAAATTTGCTGCATAATGCTTGTGGCATTAGTTAATAAGGTAACAATAAACAGTGCAAAAGTATGGGCTGTGAGAAGGGCTTTGTAACACTGATGATGATCCAGAATTGATGGGAGTGAAGTGCAATTATTATTATTATGGAAAGGTAAAAAAATACAAATACTGTACCAGTAATGGTATAGGGTTAATACAAAATGCTAATGGAGTACATTTAACTGCTTGGATATTTTTGTAATGAGACGAGTATTCCCAAGGGGAACAAGATGCCAGATTTATAGATAGATACAACACACAAAATTTATGTAATGTTTATTCTAGAAATTGCAATAATTTCCATGAATATTTCATGCCGGTAAATGATTAATAACACCAACAACATTGTTAACTTGGCATGATTTTCAGGTAGAATTGCTAACAATATTTAGTTCAGTTTGGCACCACTTGCTAATACACTTTAACACCACAGTTCGATTGCAATACCTGCTGAACTTCTACGTCAGCACTTCCCAGGAAAGGTGTGTTCTGAGCTGAAGTCGTGGCGCCCTGTCACTTGGGCCGACTATGAAGCGGCCCCGTCCACTCAGTCATTACGTGAGGCTCAAGTTGTCACGCAGCAGCATTTATTGTTCTTGGCTATATTTGAGCGGAAACATGGTAAGTTTATAAACTTAAGGTGTCAGATAATACAGTTATACTAAATGAGTGCAATTAAAATAGGCCAAGTATCTTATTTGTGAAGTGCTTTTTTATCTATCTGTATATTTGATGCCTTGTTCCCACTGGGAACTTCCCCTCCTGGAAGAGCTGGTTATCAACAAATTTAGCATGCAGTTACACTGCATCCAGATGTTGACATTTCACTTATCACTCGAAACTTTTGCGGAAGTTTTCCACAAGAATGTACTGAAGTAACCATTTGCTTACACTAGCAAACAAAAATGTACAATACCTGCATGTCATATGACTAAGGATTGTCACGAGTAAAATACATATGAGAAATAGAAGAGGAGAATGAGTAAGGCAGGAGCATGTGAGTGTGCTGGTGCATGATAAGTGGTCATCTTGTGCATGTCTTACAATGAACATGTTTTGTGTGCTCCATTGACACATCAGTATATATATACAGGAGGGGGAGGGAACAGGAGGCAATTATGTAAAACAGTGAAAGAATATCTTAAAAAAGCTGGCCATTGTAGTGCCAATTAAATTATAAACCCTAATGTGGATTCTATATATATTTTTTCTGGAAGGGCTCTTATGGTGGCTTGCTGTTACTATCAACCTGGATAACAAGAATCAGTCATTTTAAGCCTATTGGGGGGCCAAAGGTTAAGAACCTGGCCACCTCTTAGGGGACAGGAAGCTGAGGGTACTAAGGGCCATCAGCAAGGTAGAGTGAAACAGAACAAACAACAGCATGGTAAACAAAACAAAATGAGGCCTGAAACTATCAACCCAATAGTCAAGTGGTTGACCCCTTAGTGGCAGCTGCACCTCCACCAGGTGGCATCACTCCCTGCTACCAGCTCCACTGAGCCAACTCGTCAGCCATTTAGCTGGTGCATATGTTCAACGTTGTTCCTGTATTTCATCCATCTTTTGAACTCTTGTCTTAAAGAAGCCAATTTCTTTGTTTTTTCTTTCCGTGTTTGCTTTACATACATGTGTTTGTGCCTCACTTTGTGTGTGGACACAAAGTGTTCACCTCGCGCTATTTGCATCCAGGGTTTTACTTCTCTAGGTGTTGCACCTGTTCTGATAGGGTTGTCTTCTCTGGTGTGTTTGAGAGGCTGTTCCCCTCTGGAGGGACCCTTGCCCTGGGTATACCTGGGTAGTGCAGGGTCTTTGATTCCTCTGCAAGGCTTTGAGGTTTAGGGGGCAGTTTGAGGTATTTCTTCCTTGAGGGGGTAGCACAGGGGGTTTATGGGGGTTGTTTTACAGAACACCACTTATGCTCTAGCCTGCATTTGGCATTTGTTATTCTATACTCGGTGAGCAGCCCCCCTGTGCTCAGTGCTCATGCTTGGTCTTTACTTTTGGGTCCCAGCATGCCTGCACTCAGAGGGCTTATGTTTGAAGGATGTGCCTCAGTCTCAGTCCATCTTCCAATGGCCATTCTTACTGCCCCTGCCATGCTGCCTGTTTGGCAAGTCATACCTTCCTCCCTGAAGTCTGCGACTAGTGTAATCATGGTTTATCCTATATGGCCTGGAGCTGAACCCTCTTGCCAGGGTTTGGCTCTGGGCTCTACACTGTTTTCTTCAGAGTAGTTCCATTGGGTGCAAGCTCCACAGGCCCTTCAGCGGCTTATGATTTGCCAGTTTCATATTCCGGCTTTTCGAGGTTCCGTCTGGTGGCGTCTTCCTTTCCTTGCACTCGACCTCTTCACACACCCCAGCCAGAGCTAATCCTCAGTAGTTCAAGGTTCTCTGCTGATCTCTATGTCTGGAGTTTATAACACTCGTATCATATGGTCTGCAGGTTCCCAATCTCATGGCACGTCGCACGTGGTTTTCGTCGTGGTAACAGTACGAGGTCTCTTTCTGTCTCTTCCTAGTTTTGCTGTGGCTCCTGTTCTTATGGTCCTTTAATTTTTGACTTGGCATTTTGTTGAGAGGCTTCTCATGCCAAATGCCGTTGGCTTTTATCAGTCAGCCATGGCACAGTTGCTGTCAGTAACACAGAATGTCATGATTTTGTCAGCACTCCTTCACAACTTCTGGTCATTTGTTCACATCCAGCCTGCTCATGCTCCTGAGCCTTCTTAGTTTGTTAAAAAGGCCCTTTTTTCTCTCTCTCTTGCCCCTTTGATCCAGGATTGTTTTTATTGGCCTTGGCTTCAGAGTTTAGGGTTAGGAAGCTTCAAGTTCTCTTCTGGAAGCTGGGATTTTGTTCTTTTCGCCCAGCGGCCGTTTTCTTCATTTGCAGTCTTCTCCTTTTCTAACTAAGAATGAAATGGCTGGTTTCTGGAGTTTTTTTTTTTGTTTTGTTTTTTTTGTTTTTGGTGATTGATGCTTGGGTTAGTTCAGCCAGGGATGCATCATTTGTTAAGTTTAGTTGCAGCTATTTGATGTTACTGCCGCACCATTAGTGGTGTGCATGGGGACGCTTTGTTTGTGCACCCTGCTTCCCTGGTCTCTTGTTCTAAGGCCCGTTTGTCTCGGGTCATCTGCAGTGTTATGATTAGTCAGCCTGTGGTAAACCCTAAGGCCAATGATATTCACCAGTTTTATGCTCTGTCTGCAGTTTTCTTGAACATGTCCTGGCCTGATATTCAGGCTTGAGAGCTTTGGCAGTTCAACAAAGTGCTAGCGCAACGGGCTTGTGTGGTTCTAGGTGGAGCGACATTACTGATTCACTCTCTTATAAGTGTTACTGGCTTCTGCTCTCCTATGCCCCTGGTAAATTCTTCTGTTTTTCTCTCCTTGGTGAGATGGCAACAGAGAGCCTCCATAGGATGTATTGAAAGCCTCTTAATGGTGGATCCTTGAAGATTTCCTGGACCCTCCCTTTCCCTCTCATGGGCTGTCATTTTATGTCTTCCTGGCTCAATTATGTATTAGGTGGGTTGATCCCACCTGATACATCATTGTATCAGATAGCAAAGTGTGTGGCTGCCTGGTGGCATGCAGCTGCTACTGGTAGGGTGAACTGTCTCATGATCAGGTGGGTTGTTTTGGGTCCTCGTTTTGTGTTTTGTTTACCGTGCCGTTTTGTTTTGCTCTACTTTTCTGGACCTTTTCTTGGTCTGAGTAATACAGTATCTTCATGCTCCCTGCACCTTTATAGTGGGACCTATAATTTCCTGTAGGCTCTCAGTGACTAGCCCCCCTCCCCGCTCAGCTCGTTGTCGCCGTGTGGGGGCTTCGTGGGCGGCTGCCGGAGTGTGATGCTCCTTGGGACAGTCCTCTGTCCTTTTCTAGCCTTGTGCTCCTGCTGCCGTCCTCTCCAATTCTGCTGGGCATCTTTTCCTTTTCCTTCTGTTTCGTTTTTCTCCCCCCTCTTCTCCTATCTGCTTGCCGTTTCCTACCGACCTTTTGCTCGTTCTGGTTCTTCCCTTGGACTTCTTCTATTTTGACGCCCGGGTGCTTGAGGAGGCATACTCATGCACCCGTAGAACTGCAGTACCCGACGTCGAGAGCGAGGGGAACCTTTTATTGTCAATCCCCACTTCGTCACTGAACCCGATCTCGACGGACTGTCGGTTTCTTAAGGTGGCGTTTGTGGGGCGTATACTCGCGACGCACCCCTAGGAGGCCCCGACAAGATCGGCGATAGCTTCTTGTTGGGTGTCCTGCCTCTAATTGTGGCTCCATGGTGGGTGTGGGGGCACATTCGTGAGTGAATTCTTTCTTTCGTCAAGATGATTACCCCTGCTTCGGCTTCTTCTGGTTTACCTTCTCAGGCTCGTGGGGTGGGCGACCAAGCCCCCGAGTCGGTCCGTATTGGAAGACCGGGCTCTGTAGCCTCCGCTGCATTGGGCCCCGACCTTGCTCCTCCTTTGGCCTCTCTGACTCCTTCCTCTGGCTCCCCTCCCTCCTCTGTGGTTGGGTCGAGCCCCAAGCCCCCAGTGGTGACTACCTCGTCCCCTGGCGTGGCTCCTTCTCTAGTTGTAACTACTGCGCCTTTTAACCCCTCTCTCTCTGGGGGTTCTCACCGCCGTCTTCGTCATGGCCGCCCTCGCTCGATTCCTTCCAGTTCTGCTACCTATCAAGCCTTGTTTGGTCCCGCTTCGTGGGCCAAATATTTTGATCTCCTCCCTCTTGATTCTGCGCCTCCGGACGATTTCTCCCTCCATCGACATCTCATTGATTCCGTGGATGCCTCCATTACTTTCAACCTCACTCGTCTCGGTACACGTGTCGTTGCTGCTCCTTCTCAGGATGCTGCTTCCCGCTTGGCTGCCTTATCCTGCCTTGGCGAGACCCCCGTTCGGGTCTCGAAGAACGTTCAGTTGAATGCCAGTGTTGGCACTATTTTGCTCCCGCCCCATGTTGCGACCGGTGTTCGGGACCTATGCGACTGCCACGACGATATTCGACATATCCTCGCTGCCCAGGGCCATTCTATTCTCCAGGTGGACACGTTTACTCGTCCCCCTCGTGGTAGTCGCCGTCAACCCCTCCTGGTTGTGAAGATTACCTTTGATGGTAGGACCCTTCCACCCTCTGTCATTCTTGCTGGTGCCAGGTGCTCTGTCCAGGAGTACATTCCTTCTCCTCGGCTCTGCAACAAGTGCTGGAGGTTTGGGCATGGTGCCCTCCGCTGCTCCGGGACTGTCTCTCTCTGTCCTTTGTGTGGTGGCGAAGGTCACTCTAAGTCGGAGTGCGCTTCTCCCCAGGCTCGTTGCCTCAACTGCGGTGAGGCCCATCCTACCTTCTCCCGTTCGTGTGTCCATTACAAGCTTGAGGCAGCCGTCCTCAACTTGAAGCACCGGGAGCGTTTATCTTTTCCTGAGGCGAGGCGCCAGGTTCGCCGGCTCCCGCCTTATGCTAATATCTCTTATGCTCGCGTGTTGCGCTCTTCCTCTCCTCGTCCTTCCCGCCTTCCTCAGACTCACAACCGTTTCCAGGCCTTGGACCCTGATGCGCCCACTGCCCCCTCCTCTGTCCCTTTGGGTTCTCTCCCGAAGGATCCTCCTCCTGGTCCTCTGTCTGGGGTTCCCCTTCCTTCTACCCGGTCTGTCGTGTCTTCTGTGTCTTCTTCCTCGTCCCCCTCCGATCCTCCTTCCCATCCTCTTCCTCCATCTATCGGCTCTCCCCGCCGCCTGTCGGTGCGGGCGGATGTCCATCGCTCTCCTAACGGCCGTCGTGTGTGCTCTCGTTCGGCTTCTCCTGTTGAGACACTGGAATCCGTTGCCCGGTACGTAGTTGCTGGGACACCGGTCTCTTTAAGTCAGAAGCGTAAGCCTGGCTCCTCTCCTTCCTCTTCCCCGGCGGGTAAGAAGGCTTCGCTTTCTTCCTCAGCTCCTCCTTCTGGCTCTGTTGCTCCTTCCCCTCCCGTTTCAGTGCTTGCGCCCCCTGTTCCTGCTATGGAGGTTTCTTTGGCCCCTGCTTCCCTTTCGGTTGCTGCTCTTGCTGGGGTGCGCTCCTCTCTTTCTACTCCCCCTCTTCCTGCTGCTGTCCTTGACTGCTCCTCTCCGTTGTCTCCTCCTCTCCTCCTCCTCCTCCTCCGGACCCTGCCCGCCCACCTCTGATCTGTTCTCCCGTTTCCTTCCCTCCGTCTTTGCTCAGTTTACCCATGCCCCCTAACCCTGACTTTGCTGACCCTGATCCCGACCCTGATATTCTTTAACGTGCTCTGTTGGTCTTTCGCCTTTGTTTCTTCCTTGTTCTCTGTTTTTGTCCTTTCTCTTCTCGTCGTTGTCCATTCTTCAATGGAACGTTCGAGGTTATTACGCCAATTTCCTCGAACTCCAACTTCTGGTTTCGCGGTTTTCGCCCCTTTGTGTCTGTCTCCAGGAGCCGATGCTTGGTGCTCGTCCTGGTCGTTTTCGTGGCTATTCCTTTCTCTCCCCCCCCCCCAGCCATTGCTGGGGCTTCTAATTCTTCTGCTCTCTTGATTCGGGCTGATGTTCCCTTTGTTCCTTTACTTTTTCCTTCGCCTCTCCATTGTTCTGCTGCTCGTATCTTTGTGGGGAAATGGTACACAGTTTGTTCCATTTATCTCCCCCCGAGTGTCCCGCTCTCTCTTCCTGATTTGAAACACCTCCTAGACTCCTTGCCGGAGCCTGTGCTCCTGCTGGGTGACTTCAATTGTCGTCATTCTCTTTGGGGTGACGTTCTGACGAATACCCGGGGTCGCCTCCTTGAGCCGTTTCTCCTCTCTTCTTCCCTGTCTCTTCTGAATTCTGGTGAGCCCACTCATTTGGACTCTCGAACTCGCACCCTTTCTTGTCTTGATCTTTCTCTCTGCTCTTCTTCTCTTTACTTAGATTTCACATGGCAGGTTCTTGATGACCTCCATGGAAGTGATCATTTCCCCATCCTTGTTTCCTTTTTCTCTTTTCGCCCTTCCCTCTGTTTCCCTAGGTGGCAGTTTGCTAAGGCGGACTGGACCCTATTTTCCCTCAGTGCTACTCTCTCTGACCTCTCCCTTCTGCCCCTCTCTCGCGCTCTCCTCCTTTTTCATGACACTGTCTTCGACGCTGCCCTCCGCTCTATTCCTCGCTCTTCCTCTCGGGGTCCACGGAAGTGCGTTCCCTGGTGGAATGCGGACTGTGCTCGGGCTGTCCGCTGTAAGCGTGCAGCCTGGAAGAAGCACCGCCGTAGGCAGACGACCGATTCTTTTCTTTTCTTTCGGAAAGCGAGTGCGGTGGCCCGTAGGGCCATCCGTACGGCTAAACGTGAATGTTGGGCATCTTATGTCTCGACAATTACGTCCGAAACCCCTCTGGCCCAGATCTGGAAGCGTATCCGCAAGATAGCGGGTAAGTTCGTTCCCGATGTTTCACCGGTCCTTCACCTCCATGATACTCTTGTGGCGGACCCGTTGCAGGTCGCTTCCGAACTGGGTTCCCACTTTTCTTCTGTTAGCTCTGGTCTTCATCTTCCCCAATCTTTCCTTCTTCGTAAACCTGTCCTTGAGTCTCGTCCTTTAGATTTCTGCACTCATCTTCAGCTTCCCTATAATGATCCCTTCTCTCTCTCTGAACTTCGTTCTGCCCTGGCCCTCTGCGGTTCTACGGCGGCGGGCTCCGATGGTATTCATTATGAGATGCTTCGCCATCTCCCTCCGAGCACGTCTCAGTATTTACTGAGTCTGTATAATCGGATCTGGGAGTCGTCGTCAGTCCCTGAGGACTGGCTCGATGCCGTTGTCCTCCCTGTTCGCAAACCGGGGTCTCTGGGTACTTCCCCTAAGGACTTTCGCCCTATTGCTCTCACAAGTTGTGTCTGCAAACTCTTTGAACGTATGGTTAACGTTCGTCTGATGTGGTTCCTGGAACACCATCACCTCCTCTCCCCTTCTCAATTTGGTTTCCGCAAGTGCCGCAGCACGACAGATGTCCTGGTGAACTTGGAGGTCTATATACGTACTGCTTTTGCTGCGAAGACCTCCGTTGTTGCCGTCCTTTTTGACCTAGAAAAGGCTTACGACACCACTTGGCGTTATCATATCCTATCTCAACTTCATTCTTTTGGCCTTCGTGGTCATCTCCCTCTCTTTCTCCGCAGCTTCCTCTCTCGTCGTTCCTTTCGGGTGCGCCTTGGTACCGCTCTCTCTCCCTCTTTTCAGCAATACGAAGGTGTGCCCCAGGGTAGTGTTCTGAGCACTACTCTTTTTCTGGTTGCCCTCAATGGTCTTCTTTCCTCTCTTCCTTCTGGTGTCTTCTCTGCTCTCTATGTCGATGATCTTACCCTTTGTTGTCAGGGTGATGATTCGCCTCTCCTTCAACGCCGGCTTCAACTTGCGATTGATGCCGTGTCGTCTTGGGCCACAGGTCATGGCTTCAAGTTCTCTACTTCTAAGACTTGTGCCATGACTTTTACGCGGAAACGGGTTGTTCTTCGTCCCTCTTTGTCACTTTATGGTCATCCCCTTGAATACAAAGATTCCGCGAAGCTTTTGGGGTTATTCCTTGACACTCGTTTGTCTTGGTCTCCCCATATCTCTTACCTCCGTGTTGAGTGCTCTAAGTCCCTTACCCTCCTTCGGGTCTTGTCCCATACTTCTTGGGGGCAGATAGGCGCACTCTCCTTGCTTTACATTCCTCTCTCGTCCTGTCTAAGCTCGATTATGGTTGCCCTGCTTACTCGTCTGCTTCTCCTTCTACTCTTCGCCGTCTTGATGCTTTGCACCATACTGGGTTGCGCCTCAGTTCTGGTGCCTTTCGTTCGACTCCCGTCCTTAGCTTGTATGTTGACACTGGCTTCCTGTCTCTCCAGGACCGCCGTGATCGCTACTGTCTTCGCTATCTTGCGCGGTCCTTGCAACATCCTTCCTCTCGCCTCTGTCGTGCTTTAACTTTTACCCCTCCTGCGGTTCCTGTTCCTCTTCACCACCTCCCTCTTTCTGTCCGGTTATCTCGCCTACAGGATTCTCTTTCCGTTCGTATTTCTGATGTTTCTTCTCGTGTTGTTCCTTCTTTGCCCCCGTGGAGGGTCCCTCTTCCGCGGTTTTGTACATCCTTGACTCGTATCACTAAAGCTTTTACCCCTCCTACAGTTCTAAAACGCCTTTTCCTCGAGCACTTTTCTTCTCACTCCCGCTCCGTTTCTGTCTTCACCGATGGGTCTAAGTCAGCGGACGGTGTTGGCTACTCTGTTGTTTTTCCTGATCGCACTTATATGTGTCGCTTGCCTCCGGAGACTAGCATCTTTACAGCGGAACTTTATGCTATTCTCTATGCTCTTCGTCTCCTGCTTTCTCGTTGTCAGTCTTCCTTTGTGGTTGTTGTTGACTCTCGTAGTGCCCTCATGGCTCTCGGGTGCTTTAATCCAGTTCATCCGGTAGTTGTCGAGATCCAGCATTGGCTGTTTCTCGTTCACAGTAAATTTAAGTCGGTTGAGTTTTGTTGGGTTCCCAGCCATATTGGCGTGTCTTTAAATGAGCGTGCGGATGCTGCCGCTAAGGAAGCTGTCCGCTCTTGTCCCATCTCTCGTAAAGGCATTCCGTATTCCGACTTTTACCCGGTTATCCATTCCTCAGTCCTTACCCGTTGGCAGGCTTCTTGGTTGTCTGTTACTGGTAACAAGCTACGTACTCTTAAATGTTGTGTTTCCTCGTGGCCGTCCTCCTTCCACCGTAACCGGCGGTGGGAAACAGCTCTGGCGAGGTTGCGTATTGGCCATACTCGCTTAACCCATGGTCACTTGATGGAGCGCCGCCCTGCTCCTTATTGTCCTAGTTGCATTGTCCCTCTTACGGTCGTGCATGTCCTTCTTGAATGTCCTGACTTCCAGGACGAGCGTGTGTCTTGCTTTCCGACCGCCCCTCGCGGTCACCTGTCCCTCGATAGAATTCTTGGTGACTCGGATACTTTTGATATCGTTCGCCTTATGCGTTTTTGTTCTCGTATTGGCATCCTTGGTGATATTTAGCGCCCTCTGATTATTTTGCGTATTTGATGGTGCTACATAGCCTTCCCGGTTTGGTGCCTTCTTTTGATAATTACTTACTTACTTATGGAAGCACTGGTAGCAGTGTCTCCAGATCATCCAAGCACAGTTCCTGTGGTGGCACTGTCTCTCTTATGGGAGGGCCACCACCAAACAACTAACAACCCACAGCTAAGGGTTAGTGTTTTGTCATGCTCACAATATAACAAGTCTTGTAGTAACATAATCTGTGACATGTTTTATCATAGTTCAATTTCTTTTCATGCTGGATGCAAATCTAACTTTTGTATCTTTACAGCATATGGAGAAGGAGGTTAATGTACATTGGGATGAATTAGTATCATCTCGCAGTGATCGCCTTCATCTCCTCCCATTGATTTTATACCGACTGGCAGTTTGTTTAGACGTATACACCGAGGCATACAGTGCCCACGCTGATGCTAGGGGACCAGATGCACAGTTTCATAAGGAAAAAATATTTTTCAGACCTGCCAGGTACGTTCAGGTGGGCGAAACCTACAGTACTCGTCAATAATATATGACCGCCTACTCGGGGCAGTGTGTAATTATGACAAAAACAAAAAATTCTGGTCTTGAGGATGAAAGATTGTAGATGGAATGTATGTGTACTTTGCACAATGTCACAGTGTGCACTACTTCCCTGGAGCCACACAGCTGTGATGTTTAGTTAGCCCTGGGCATTCATAGTGAGCAGTTGTGTTTCCTGCTTCGCTCTGGCACTTTGCCATGTTTTATTGCAGTTATGAGTAGTTGTGGTATGACGTTGCTCTTTTGACACCCACAAAATAAAGAAACCATTGCTCAGATCAATGCTATAAACGAAGCAGGTCACCAAATTTAATTGTTGGGTGTAGCCAAGTTTCTAGGAGGACCACACCAATGTTTCTGTGATGGAATGTCACCACAGCTTTTCCTCTTGGAAGTGTGCACAGTACTTTCTCGCGTTGACTTGGCTACACCCAACAATTAACTTTGGTGACCTGCTTCGTTTAACCCCTTAACTGCGTTGCCTCCAAATGTGACACTCCCGCAGTGCACAGGAAATAAATTCTCTGGAAAAAATTATTTTTTCTTTTTAGTGTCAAAAACCCTTCCCTCAGTATGTGTATGTAAAAAAAAATCGAAATTGTACTTACTTTGGCTGCTATGGGGTCCGGAAGTTGGGGCGTGACGTCATCATTCCCCGTGCGCCTGTGCCATAAGCTCTCGGGGGCGGTGGGGCGCTCGGGGCGGGGCGCGCGAGTTGCCGCGAATATATTTTCGTTCATTTTTTGCGCACCTTTACAAATACATTTTCATTGTTTTTATGTGCCAATCTAATGTATAATGAACACGTACACTATAATATCGCAGTACAACATCCGTACTGTCCGTAGACACTGTGTTACGTGCATGAAACTTGTGTACACATATGCAGCACATAATTACTATGTATCATGCTAATTTGTGTATATATACAATCTATTTACACACTATACACTGTCACACACTAAATACATTCACCATCAACACGTTCAGAGCACCGCGAGTGAGAGCTGCCACACCCAGCCAGCCCTCCCTAACTTCTCCAACATTGTATTCGCCGACTTTGCCCCTCCCATCATACAGTTATTCACACCAATATTTCATGTTCATTTATGTATATTTACAACATATGTACTCACTATACACTGTCACACACTATATACATTTACCATCAACACATTCAGAACATCGCGTAGCAACTGCTTCGTATGGGCCAATAGCAGCTGCCCCGTATGGGCCAATAGCAGCTGCCCCGTATGGGCCAATAGCAGCTGCCCCGTATGGGCCAATAGCAGCTGCCTCGTATGGGCCAATAGCAGCTGCCTCGTATGGGCCAATAGCAGCTGCCTCGTATGGGCCAATAGCAGCTGCCCGTATGGGCCAATAGCAGCTGCCCGTATGGGCCAATAGCAGCTGCCTCGTATGGGCCAATAGCAGCTGCCCCATATGGGCCAGTAGCAGCTGCCCCGTATGGGCCAGTAGCAGCTGCCCCGTATGGGCCAGTAGCAGCTGCCCCGTATGGGCCAATAGCAGCTGCCCCGTATGGGCCAATAGCAGCTGCCCCGTATGGGCCAATAGCAGCTGCCCCGTATGGGCCAATAGCAGCTGCCCCGTATGGGCCAATAGCAGCTGCCGCATATGGGCCAATAAGAGCTGAAAAGGAACCTAAGAAATCATTCGAAGATTCCTAGATGAACGAAATAATGCTGTGGTGCTGTGGCTAGCGCTGTGAACATCGTGAACAGCATTGAATCACTGATATTTGAACATTGTACCCAGTCATTATCACACTCAGGCTCTAATATAACACTATCATAGCTAAATAATACAAGTTATATATATATTTTGACATTATTAGGCGATGCTGTGGTCACATGCTGAACAGCAGTGCTGTGCGCTCATGCTGCGAGCGCCAGCCTTGGTTGCTCACACACTACTGAGGCTCCCACACCCAGGAATGTGGACCACGATTTTTTTTAAAGATGGCGTCTGTTTACAAGAGCCCTGAGGAAGCTGATGTGAACCCCATGTAGCCGCGGGAGTTTTGAATGGAACGTGAAAAATACAAATACCCGGAGGCGCGTTGCGCAAACCAGACGTGAGCCTGCTGGCGCGTTGCGCAGTTTAAGGGTTAAAGCATTGATCTGAGCAATGGTTTCTTTATTTTGTGGGTGTCAAAAGAGCAACGTCATACCACAACTACTCATAACTGCAATAAAACATGGCAAGGTGCCAGAGCGAAGCAGGAAACACAACTGCTCACTATGAATGCCCAGGGCCAACTAAGCATCACAGCTGTGTGGCTCCAGGGAAGTAGTGCACACTATGACATTGTAAACAGAAGTATGTGCCAGGTACACAACCTTTCATACACAAGACCAGATTTATTTTTTGGCATAATTTATTCACCATCCCGAGCAGAGCAACGCATACTTTTGACAAATACCAGTAACCACAATGTATGTGGTGGTGTTCCAGGAATTTACTTTTTTTTGTTTTTGTTTTTATTTTGGGGGGGGGGCACAAATGTGGAAAAAATTTAAAACTATTATATTTGTCATATACAACAGTGTACTTAAATTTACAATTTCATAAAATCATTGAATGGCCAGGCCTGGGTCAAGATTCATCAAGCCGTTACACAAGTACCTATGAACCTGTACATCTTTGCTCAGTCTTTGGCGGCTTTGTCTGCATTTATTATATAGGTTGCGAGCATTGAAACTTCCCGATCAAATGTCGTTATTGTTATAAATAGTTTCTTAGTGCTTTGGAGCTCATACACTGCTTACATTTATTAAACAGTGTATGAGCTCCAAAGCACTAAGAGGCTGATTATAACAGTAACGACATTTAATTGGGAAGTTTCGATGCTCATAACCTATATAATAAATGCAGACAAAGCCGCCAAAGACTGTGCAAAGATGTACAGGTTTATAAGTACTTGTGTAACTGCCCTGAATGTTATGAGGGGTTAGAGTGCTGCAGTAGATGACTGTTGGATTGTGTTGATGCGCAAGATGTAACAAATGGATGGTTTTATATTAATGTTACCTTTCAATATACTGTATTTTTCACTTTTTTTCCTCCTGCCCCCATAAAACTAGGAAATGTAATGAACTTTGTTTCATGTCCCAAACCAAATGGGCATAAATATCTTCTGAAGCAAAATAATGACTCCAGTCATTTCTCAAACCCTAATGTTTGCAATATGAAAAGTTATTCCGATTAGTTTTGACCTTGGGGGAGGGTCAAACACCGAGCTTTATATTACTATATTATTATAGCTTTATATTAGATATGAACAGTGTTCATATCTAATATTCAATAGTGCTAATTTTAGTTAAAAAAATGGTTAAATTTTTTTTTATTTATTTTGCAGAGGCCCAGACAGAGCATTCCCTTTCAAGTACCATCCAAAACTTGGGGTCTTCTCTCAGCGTTAAAGGAAGGACTGATCCCTTTTTTTTTATGTAGCTTTATTTTGATCTAGGCATTTTTTTTTTGTTTATACAATACTGTACTAATAAATATACTTTTAAGGATTTTTGTTATCACTCATCCATTCTGCCTTTAGATGCAGTTCAGGCCAAAATTAATGTACACTGTACAGGTAGTTTAGTACATTATTTTTGTAATTTTTTTACGTGTATACCCAGTACTGTAGGTACAGTAGTATATCTAATTTTATATAAAAAAATATATACTGTATACATTTTTGGTAGTTTTCTCTGCTGAATATAGTATTCAAAGGTAAAAAATTATCAAAAGAAGGCAAATTGGGAAGCCTATGTAAGAATGGTAATCAAACGTTAAAATGTGACAAAAATATCCTACATTTCAAGAGGTGAATACAAGTCTGCACGTACATGCCATTTGTGGGTAATTAGGAATGAAGAAAGTGCTGAATAACAATCAAATGGCACCAATCCAGGAAGACTATGCAGTACTGTCACTGGATATTCAAAAGGCACAAAATATCACAATGCCAATACAAGAATAAGAGCACATAAGGTGAGCGATATCAAACATATTTGGTTCACCAAGGATTTTATTGATGAACGAATGACCTCCAGGTATATTAGGAAAGCACGATATATAGCTGTGCTAAAAATCTGGACATTCTACAAGGTGAACGACTAAGTGAGACAATGCAGTTCGGACAATAAAGAGCACGGCAGCATTCCAATACGTGCGTGTATGGCCAATACTTAAGCTAGCCAAAGCCATTTCCCACTGTATTATGCCTGGTATGAGGAAGACCAAGGAGGTAGGTTACCTTTAAGAGTGAACAGTTTGTTGCCTCCAATACCAGACAATGACCCTGCCAGCAGTGTGTGTGAGAGGAATGAAAGAATGGGTAGAAATCTGAACAAGGAATACGTTTTTTGGCAAAGTGGACAAGTGCAGATAGCCTTCTTAGCAACTGTGTCTGCATGTTCATTTAGAGTAATCTCAATATGGCTGGGAACCCAACAAAACTCAACTGTCAAACCTTCTAAGAGATAAGAAAAGGCCAATATTGGATTTTAACCTCCACAGGATGTAAGGGGTTAAATGACTCCAGTCATGAGGGCAAAAGATGACCACAATGACAAAGGAATGTTGACATTGAGCATACAAAATTGTATAAAGTTCCATTGTAAAGCTGCTAATCTCCACGGGTAGGTGGCACACACAGGTTTGGACAGGAAAGACAGTGCAGTAGCCAACATCATTGGCATATTTAGACCCACCTGAGAATAAGGCAATGGAGCATGAATGCGAAGACATGATCAAAGAAAGGGCATTTCGTAACGGTAGGAGAGGTATAAGCCCCTACCACGTGGGTCCAGGTCTTTGAAATCTTTGCAAGTGGAACCCTCATGGTTGGGAAGGATGGAACAAGATGAGGAGTGAGATTGCTAACATGAACCGATTGGGAATCTTGAAAGTGAAGCATCTATACAGAAAAACGGAATGGGGCCCCACATGAGGGGATATCAGTCAAAGCACAGCATAAGTGAGAGTGGGAGCGTTGCAGAAACCATGCAAGGCCGTGATGGCACTAACAGTCACAATGATCCTGTAAAGACAGGATGATGGTTTCAATATACAAGCTCTGGGTAGGGAATGCACCAGTGCCGAGGCACATGGTACCATACCCATTATGGTACCAAGCATCAAGACGACAAAGGAGCAGGCAGAGCAGCCATAATCGAGTTTTGACAGCATGAGAGAGAGAAGTGCAAATAGGGGAGTGTGCATCTATCAGCTTCCCAGGAAGTATAGGACAACACTCTAAATAAGGTAATGGTCTTAAAGCATCAACTCTGAAATGAAATATATGGGGGTGACCAAGACATACGAGTGTCGCCTCCAAAAGTTTAGCAGAAACTAGGGGCCAAAGAACAACCCACTTCTGAAAAAGTCTTAGCTCAAGTCTTTGTTGTTGTTAACTTTTAAGCCAAGATTGGTGGCCCAGGATGACACAGCATCACTCGCAAGTTGGAGATGGAGCTGGTGTTGGAAGCACGGGGAGTCGATCACACAACAGCGGAGAGTGAGATCCTCATCACAAAGGCCCAAGAAACTACCAAAGGTAAGAAAGGAAGATCATTAAAGGCAACTAGGAAAAGGATAATGCTCAGAATACTGCCTTGGGAAACACCTTTATTGTTGAAAAAAAAAGTCAAAGTGGTACCAAGTCTCACTTCAAATAAACGACAAGAGAGAGCTTTTAAGGAAGAGGAGATCCCCACGAAAGCCAAAAAAATGTAGTTGGGATAAAATATTATATCTCCAGGTCTCTTCCAGGCCTTTTCCAGGTCAAAAATGAATAGCAACTACAGATGTCTTTGCAGCAAATGTAGTACAAATGTAGACCTCCAAGTCTACAAATGTATCAATCGTGTGAAACTTGTTAAAGCCAAATTGAGAGGGGAAGAGGTAGCAATAGTGTTCTAAGAACCACATTAGATGTACATTAACCATACATTCAAAAAGTTTGCAGATGTAACTTGTCAGAGCAATTGGGTAAAAATCCTTAGGTGAAGTCCCTTGAGAACCGGGGTTCTGAACAGAACACTTGCCTCATGCCAGTCTGCAGGGACTGACGTCGTCTCTCAAATACAGATATAGATACAAGGTATTCAGTAAATACTGATAGGTGCACTGAGGGAGATGACAAAGCATTTCACAATGAATGTACTATGGTGGTGAGCTCAGGCAGCAATCTTTGAGTAGGCACAAAGATTGTACAAGTTAAACCCTATACTGTATGTCAATTCATGAGAAGAACTACATTTACAACTGCTGGGGTGTGTTGATGCATGAACAGCACTGTACACTTCTTATTATGAAGTGGTGGCTTGCTGCTGTGGACGACTGCTGGAGTGTGGTAGTCCTTGTTTATCCATTATGTTGTTCACCAGTTTTCTCTGGACTGGTGCCTCCCTAAATAATGTAAGTGGGAAGAGTGTTAATAATGTATGTTCAAGCTGGGGATCTCTTGTCATCACTCTCAAATACATCAGTCTGCCCCTTTATCGTTTGTGCCTGAAAAACTCCTGAACCAGGGACTTGTCTGTCTGTAGCCTCTCTTAAGGCACTCGACAAAGAATATAAGGACATGAAATGATACTCAAAACCTTTGGAAAGATTTGATTTTAAAACTTTCCATCACATAAATATTATTGAGTAAAGTAAAAGCTTTAATTAAGAAACATTAAATGTACGATGAAAAGCTGCAAATATATTAATACAAGAGCCTATACAAACAGCTGTACAGGGATATAAAAAATACAAAGAGCTGTACTACAATATGCAATAAAGCAACAGATAAATAATACCTGGTTAGACCTGGAACCGCCCCCCCCCCCCACACACACACACGCACGCCAATTTTCTGTATCAAGTTCAGAAAGTCAATAATTCTCTATGCATGAATGGTCTCCACTGACACCCTACCATCATAATACCTTAGTAGTTATTGTAGTATTGTTGATCACAATACTTGATGTGTAGTGTAGTACTGCTTTACTCATGTTAAATGGAGCATACATTTATTTTTTAATACCGGCAGTTCCCCTCTACCACAAACAGGTTATGTTCTGAAAATGTGTTCATTAAGTATTTGTTCAGAACAAGATTTCCCACAGGCTTAATACTATAAATTGGAAGATGAGTTCCTGGATCACCAAAAACCATCACAAAACCAATACTTTTGAGACATACAATATGATAAAGTATAACATTATTTACCTTGAATGATGGAGTTGTCCTGCTTGTCAATGTTTGCTCTTTTTGAGGAGTGAAGAGTTCCTGGAGGAGGCAGCAGCAGAAGGTAGTGATACGCGGGTATGCGCTGGCAGCGGAGGTTGGCTGTGTTTGATGGGTGGCAAACACCTGTGGGTCATCATCAGTCACTAGCTGCTGTAGAACGTGAAGGTTTTGGGTCAACCTTTTTCTTGACGATCATAGACTATTGATTAACGCCTCTTTGAGAGGTGATTGCTGGGCTAGTCTTTTTGGGGAAAAACATTCTCAAGGTACTTTGCACTTTACATGTAAATATGCTTCTTTTCCACGTAAATATGCTTATACGCTGTATGACCATTTAACACAATTTTTTAGATGTTTAAATATCTCTGCATCATCATCATGTTTATCAAACATTGCTAATCAGCTTAAATACCTCTTGCCATTTTCTTGAGTGTATTGTTTTACTGGGGTGTCTCAGTCCAGCAAAACAAACAGCTTCATCTTCAGTCTCTGCTGATCCAACTCCTTAAGGTCTTCATTTGTGAAGTCCCTTAAGGTCTTTATATCAGAAATTAAATTAAATCTTTTCCTTATTGTTGTTTATTTCAGATGTATAAAACACTTCACATTCTTGAAATTGTTTGTTTTGTCATTTAGATAGTTCCAATGGTTGAGTGGTTGCAATCTGTATTTGTTTTTCACCCCTCTCAGAGCCCTTGATATTTGCTAGCTACATCTCTTAAGATAATGGGTTGCGGCTTCCTTAGCACTGGTGCGTTACCAACACACTTCCTCTTCCTATCAGCCATTGTTCTTCCTTTCTTCAATATTTTACTATCCAGGTATTTCAAAGCAATTCTGAAGTTGGAAAGCCCAGCAAAGGCACCTCTGACAATATCCTTCATGTGGTCCTCTAATGACAGTTTATTATCCAAGATCACCCCTTGGTCTCTTTCCTTGTCTGAGTTCTTGAAAGCCATTTCACATAATTTGAGGTTCTCTGTGGCCTATTTTTTCCTATTCTACATTCCATAACTTGGCATTTATTCACATTGAATTAAATCTGCTAAGTGTTGCTCCATACATTTATTTTGTCCATGTCATCTTGAAGGGCATGACAATGGTCAAAGTATCTTCCTTAGTAGCTTAGCATCATCAGCTGTGTGTGTGTAGGGGGGGGGTGAATGGCGAGAGTTGTGTGTGTGGGTAATATCAAATACAACGAGCCTCGATTTACGATGGTAATCTGTTCCCAGAGACGTATCGTAAGTCGAAATGATTTTCCCATAAGAAATAAAGGGAAATGAATTAATCCGTTCCCGACTCCAAAAAATTACCTTCAAAGTAAATTTTATACCTAATTCACCCAAATCTTCACTACAAAAGTATGTACAAGTTATTACTTACCTTTACTGGTGATTCTTGTTGGCGTATGGAAGATGGTGAGGATGGGGGAGGAGGAGTGTTGTTACTGTTTGGAAGGGGAGTCCCCCTTCCATTATAACATCAGGCAGTGATGATTTTTCTGGGATACACACACGTACATTTTGCCTGCATACCACTAGGACCTGGTTGTGGTTCACTGTTTGTTTGTCTCACTAAAAATTTGTCTAGCGACACTTCTTTTTCCCTTTGTTTCAACATTTGTCTGTAGTGAAACATAAGTGTGTCATTAAAAAGGTTAAGGCAACAGCCTACTGCAGCTTGATTTGAGCAAGTCGTTTCAGCAAAAGTTTACAGTTCCTCCCAAGCTGCACACATTTTCTTAATTTTTCTGGAAGGGATATTCTGTACTGCTTCTATGGTCATCCTCACATGTGTTTTCATATGTTGAACCTTACTTACCACTGACTTTCTTGGGTCCCATGGCGTGATATATAATAATCAGTTTTATGTTCAAAAAGCAAAAAATCACAAAAAAAATTGAATTTCTTATAAGCGTGATCGTCACTAAGCGGGCGGCCCTAGTAAACTGAGGCAGGTCGGCCCACGCGACCAGGAACCATGCACTAGGTCGACCCAAACGTGTATCAACAAATATCGTTAGTCAACGACACTATCGTAAGTCGAGTCGCATTTTCCAATCAAATTTATATCTTAACTTGAAATTATCGTAAGTTGAGGTGCCACTGTACTATGAATTACAGGTAGGAATCTAGTTATACACAAAGGGAAAAGAATCAACATACAATGAGGCACCTTTTCCAGGTCAAACTCTTGGTAAGGCACCATGACAAATACAGAATTTTGGGCAACACTTTCCAATATTTAAAAAAATAGTCTAATGATTCTATACAGTATTAATGTTGTAGGTTTCATGCCACTACAACAAGGCATTCTTACGGAACAATATGGAAATTTACAACAAATAAATTATAGAACAAGATCACTGGTGACACCTAATAATCAAAGAGAATGGACAATCATTTTCAAGAATCAGGAATACTATAACATATTACCACATCAAAGAAAAATATCTGCACTTAGGGAAATTACTTACGTAGATTTTTCTAATAGCACGTTAAGAGGTTATTCCATGTTTGTAACAAGGTTTTCCTACATGCTGCTACAGAGTGCTCACCAATCACAAACAATCTAAACATGTGCAAGTGTTTTAGGGCTCAACATACAGTATAGTTCTGCACTATGAAACTTTCCACTAAATATCAAAAGACTGTACAAGTACTGTCCAGTATTTAAAAATTATTTGCTAAATAATACAGTACTGTAATTCTTTTTAGTTACAATATAGATTTTCTAAATAAAACACTACTTTGAATGTTTAAATGAAAAGCAAAAATGAAAATGAAGTACAGTATTGTAAACAGCAAAACACTACTTTCAGAGCAGGTGGTTACATGCTCCACGTGCCAACTCTGTCACCAGAACACTGTCACTGCATTAGGCTTTTGTCACTTTCTCTGCAAAGCCTGGTAAGGATCTTTTGCAAATTGTCTTATTAGGGATAAAAGGTGAGTAATGGTGACAATGCAGAGTCTTACTCAAGCCAACATCGAGTTATCAGTCTGCTACGACAGATAGCACATAGCACCCCAATAGTAAACAGCTTCACAGGGAGCTACCTCCACACTTTAAGCTAAGCCCACACAGGCAAGCTAGGGAAAATGGGGGTAAAATCAATGGGAACAAGAATATCTGATGAACTGCTAAGAAAGCAGGGTTTCAATAGGCTCAATACCCTATTTCAGATATAATGCACCTTTTTACAGTGAGCCAGCTCTCCATGTTCACTGAAAGATAAAATTAGGAACAAAATAGATAGGGCAATAATACAAGCTAGAGACAGAGTAATGCTGACACAAGCTGCAGATGAATGCAGCACCAAGTTATTGACCTACCCAAGCATTCCACCAATTCAGTTATTAATGACATGGATGAATTTAATTTGGAAGGTACTAAGCTGTCAAAGTCTAATCCAATCTCCAGAATCCATGGGTTCTAACATCAGAGTAGGACACAGCAGGAAAGCAGTGAGAATGGTGCACTATGAAGTCATGAGCCTGGGGGGTAAACCTGCAGCTAATTCAACTTAACCATTTGTCAGGGAAGCCGGGACAGACATATCTAGGAACAAGGAGCTATGAACCATGGGGTGAGGAACAGAAAATGAAAGATATGAAAATATCCAGTGATACCAATACAATACTACCACAGGAGAGAGTGATGAATGGCAGGGTAGAATGACAAGAGGTCTTCAACTGCAGAAGCTGCCACCTTGATCATGATCAAAGGAGGATAAAGAAGATGGAGGTGGTAAGAATGGCTATCAGATACAGTAAAACCTTGGTGCATCTTTTAAATTCACAGCCAGCCAGAATGAACACAGCTCCAAATCAGTGTCTTGGTAAAAAAAAACTCAGTGGCAGGAGGCAGCCCTGGAACAATTTTTTTAGGCACAATCAAAGCCAGGGAAGAATTCAACATGAACTAATCCATACAAAAGCAACTCCATGAAACTTCAGAAAAATTATCTCTGGGGCCGTTGATATTTGTCAAACAGTGCCAGGGAATTTAACTATGAAACAAAGCTGTAGTGAATAGCTATAGCCAATGGAACAAAAATATATCAAGTTAAACACACAGCGAAGAAAACCTATAAAAGGAGATAAATCATTGTCCTGATACAACACTCATTGGGAAAAAGTAGCCAAAAACAACCTTGCTGGTCTCTGGAGAGCTCAAGATAGTTATGGCGGGTCACTATACAAACAGCAAGATGGTAACTCTCTTCGACCCTAGTTACTAATACAGTTTTGTCAGTTGACACTAGTTAGTTTAATTGGTAATGGTAATTACAGAGCACTAATTAGTGTTCCATGTGTTGATAATTTAACACTTTAGGGGTGGAGAAGGTGTTCAAGGTAACTGCTCCCTGTTGTGTGTCAAAGTGGGCTGGTCCCTCTGAGGCCACTTAAGTTACTCACCATTGTTTCCCTTGCCCACCTATTATCTCAGACACCACCACTTGCAAAGATCCTTAGTAGGAAATATTGAGGCTGTACCATAAGATTGGTAGTGTGTGTGTGCCTGAAATGTCTAGGGAATGTGGGTGTGACCCCATCACATGGCCTCAATACTTTCTAATCCTTATTAGGCTTTGAGAGTAGCTCATGGGAGCCTAGTGTAGTAAAATTGCAACCCATCCTCAAATCAAGTCCATTCCATCCAGCGGTCAACCCCAAAGACGCATTCATAAATATTAACATGCTGTTCATTCAAAATAGGGATTTTCTCAAATATTAATTAATATTGTTATATATTAGCATATTGTGCATATTTAGGCATTGGTTAGGTTAAGTGTTTATGTTCTGTTGGCGATTATTTGTAGTTCATGGGTGAAGCACTGACAGCATTGTAGTTCGAACAAAAGTTGTCACCGAAGCACTTATTCCAGAAGTTTTGGGACGTCATCAATTGAGTGTGTGTAAACTGTTATTCATTCATAAACAAGGTTTGGCGGGTGCATGGAATGGACTTTGGCCTTTGATTATGAGAACGGGCTGGAAATTGTCCTGGTGGTCCAAATGACTCCCGAGTCGAGAGACATCTATGAGGCCTCGGCTTCAAAATTAGTGTAGTACAGCATATACGTACATTGTATAAATAAATAAATGTGAATGTAAAACTTATCATTTGCACTTTCTAATGGTTTTTACATAGATCAAACTAAAGCACAGGTGGAAACAAAATTTCATAATGCGTGTTGAAAAAACCTGAATAAATCGCTCGAGAAAGATTTCAATTGAGCCAGTAGCTTGATAGCCTGTATGTACGTATAGTGCATTACAAGTATGGTAATGTGAACATAGATTAAAGATCACAAGACATTACTCCTCCACCTTGTGATGATTGTCAATGCTTTCAATGTACTCTTGGGAAGCTTTTTGGTTTACGTCCTCTGTTCTGCTGCTGCATGTTAAATAAAATTTAAATTAGTCACTGAAACTAAATTTTGCACTTAAGATGTTTGATCAATAGGTATGTCTTATAAGTTTACAATATTATCACATGCAACAAAAACAAATGCACCCAGATTCTTATGAAAAAATCAAGTGCTGAATGTAATGAAACGCTCTTTTCTGGAGAGCCAGGGAGAGCCTTTTCTGCCTTCCTACTAGTCGCTCCCCCAGCCTGGTTTTCGAGGCTGGGGAAGCCATACCCTTTCTTCGCCTACTGAGGCAAAAACCAGAATTTGGTTCACTCTACGAAGCAGAGAGCAACCACAAAACTGGGGAAAGCCCAACAGAAATTATAGGTGTAACAAAAGCTACTGCTTTAAGGAATCTGAAACTGAAATACTAAAGTAGTACTTTATTCACAAATGTTTGTACATTTATAGTTGGGTTAGTTATCATAAATTTACAGTAAATTACTTAAGACACCATAGAGGTCAACAAGGCACATAAACGTTGCCTCAGATTAAATATGCAAAATGCGCCATGCCTCTCTACCATCAGACAGTAACCTAGGTCACCTTGGGTCTCAACCAGCCTGACCCTGACCCCTCTCGCTCTGGAGGGGTCAGGGGTGAACCTGCAAACACAAGAAATAAGGAAACAGGGCAGGGACAGGGAACTATATGGATTGCACCATAAAATAATTATATTCAACAGCTGGGTTTTGGGAATCACAGACACCAAGACTCTTATCTTCCACAAAGAGACTTTTCATTACATTAAATGCTGTTTATCTGGGAGAGAGCTGAATGATGGCTCCTCAAAGCTGACTATTATGAGAAGAAAAATCATAGGACTTACCAGGAATTAGGAGAGCAAAATGATACTCACAAAGACGAGACATCGGTACAGAAACCCAACCGAGGGCAACACAAGCCCAATGGGAACAAGGAACACTGACCAGGGAATGAACCACCAGGAACCTTAAGACCTTCAAAATCTCTATGCTAGAACCTGAGCCCATGACATGTTAAAAACACTGCAGACAGAGCTGCAATCTTATGAGCATTGTAGGACTGGGGGTAGACTGCAGGGTGGCCAGACACTGACACTGCGGACAACCCTGGATAAAGAAGCTTTGGAGCAGGGAACGAAGGAAACAGGATCAACAAACAGCAAATCCACTAAAGATGAGCAGGTGGCATGCAGTAGTAATGAACAACAAATGATAAACGAACACATTGCTGGAAACTGGTATGATTGTGAATCTAATATGGGCCAGACTTGTCTGAAATAGGGCAAAAGATCATATTGCTTTTGCAAGCCAAAGCACCATGGCTAAACTTCCAACATGTAATGCACTGGCACAAGGAGAGGACATGCATATGGGCAAAAAATTTTGCACAAATTAAAATGATCACTCTGCAGCTTTCCCATATTTGAGTTTCTGTAACTCATAAAGGTCAGTTATTGTCATTTGCTTAACTCTTGGTCAATACAGTTATCATAATTTGCCAATTTTAGTTACTATCACCCAGTTTTCATACAAATTAAGTAAATATTGTTATACAGTAATACTGTTTATATAGATGTAATTTAGTAGACCATGACACATTTTGCTATCATTTTGTAATTCCTTACTATGTGATGAGGTTATCGTTTACTAATGGCCTGCCTACTGTTATTGTCTAATGACAATTTGGGCTGTCTTGCCTGTTTGAATATTTCTGGACAATGTTCCCAAGCAAAATAGCAGCAAGTAAGTGGATTGCAAGGCACTTCTAAGCTGTGCCAAGAACAGGTTCACATGCAACAGAAAAATTCAATACATTGTAGGCCTATACATTACTCTGTCACTATTTTGGTCAATTATGAGTACATAATTAAGGTTATTCAACATAATGAAAAACTACAGTGGAATTATGAACATAATTCCTGGTAGTACATTTAAGAGGATCCCGGTAGTAGCTGGGTTTGTTCTCAACTCACAATAAATAGGTACCCAGGAGTTAGTCAGCTTCTTGTGGGGTTGCATCCTAGGGTGGGTCAGTAACTAGACCTGGGGGGGGGGGGGTTGAGATACCCCCTGGTGGGAGGTAATCTGGTGGGGGGTCTGGACCTCAGTACAAGCCTAACATGTACCTCATGTATAACCTGGCTTCATGTCCTCCGACACAATGAATTATTATTAACTATGAATTAAAACACTGTCTTGGGCAGAACAAAAACGGTTCCTTTCACCTTTCAAAAAAAAAAAAAAAAAAAAAACTTAACTTGATGTATTTACCTATCAGTAAATAGATACCTGGGAGTTGACCAGACCACACACTAGAAGGTGAAGGGACGACGACGTTTTCAGAGTCAATTCTTGACTTGAGAATGGTCCAGGACGGACCAAAATGTCGTCGTCCCATCACCTTCTAGTGTGTGGTCTGGTCAACATACTTTAGCCACGTTATTGTGACTCATCGCCTGCCTGGGAGTTGGTCAACTGTTGCTGGATGCACCCTGGAGAAGGTCAGTAGGTGGTCTAGAGGACCTTGATGGACCTAAGTACTGTACAGGCTTCCTGTCCCTGACTGCGGGAACTATAAAAGCCATCCGTCTTGAACACAAGTCTCCTCAGCCCTGCATGTGTCAACAAATACCTCGTGTGTATGTACCCAGTGACTCCCCCACCTGGCTTACTCCTACTGTGCACCAAGCCTCAAAACATATCTATTTTATTTTTTCTTATTTTTTTACATAAAAATTAAATGTATTTGATTTGTGAGTAAAATCATTTTTTATACCTCGTCTATTTCAGAGTGATATCTGCAGATATCGTTTTCAATTATTCTCACACCAGCAAATTCAAGCATGTTTGCATTTAGAATTCCCTTCACCACTTCCACTCAACAGATTTTTACACCAATTACATTATCATTTCTACATGCTTTTATTTAACACTCCAATTTGCTTTTTTATTAAAACTAAAAATGAAAAAACTTCATAAACATTTGTACTGTACATTCATAATGAAGCTAATTTACACAAAATTACAGTACTGTACATTATTTGCCCAAGAGAAAGTCATAACAGCATAACAAATAATCAAAATTGTTAAAATGATTTCACATTTATTCTTCCTAACTGATCAACTGGGCTGTGACTCGTACCTCAGACTACAAGCAGCTGTATTCAATAGCCTGGTTGACCAGACCAGCAACCAGGAGGCCTGGTCCCATGGGCCACTGATCCCAAGAACTAGCACAAGGTAAACTAGGTAAATTCATAAATTTTTCTTTTACAGTTTAACCAAATGATCCACAATATATGTAGTCTCATCATATTCCTACGTTCTTCTCTCGGTTTTGCAGTCAGATCATTTTGGAAACTATACAAGGACATGCCGGTTCTTCTAATGTTTTCTGACTTACAGTCTACACATGTACAGTACATCGTGAGGAGTACGATCAAATAGTGCATTTCTTGATGCAGTCGGGCTTATGACCGAATTTAAACACTGTCATCATAAACTTGCATAAGAAAATCTAATTTATGCCTATGCTATATTTTTAGATGATTTTTCAACCATGACAAATCTTGTTATAGATTTCATTTATAAATTTTCCAAGATGTGTGTGTGACAAAGACATTTATAAACTTCTAAATTACCTCATTCACTTGCATCTTATAACCCTGATATACTGCAAAACATTTACTATTTAATAATACTGTACTTTCAGATTATGCCAATTACAATATTTTCCTCTTAACTTTCATTCATTATTCTCCTCAACAATAATCAATTCCTCTTCTTTCAGTGGTACAGTGTAGTATATTCACAAATTTTTTAAGTACTATTAAAAAAAAAAAAAATTAAATATTCTCCTCTATAATGCTTATTACTATGCTACTCATCAAAAGTATTCATCTTCTTAAGGAATTTATACTGCACTCAGTATTTCTATTGAGCATCCACAATTCCTTCTCGACCTACATCAAAATTAATAATGAAGTATTGTCATGATCACCTCTGGCCAATTATTTCCCTTTCGGAATGTTCGTCTGAATTGAGTACATGGGGGGGGGGCTAATGTGGTAGCAATATTTGTTAATCATGCATCATTAGTCCTTTGTTCTTGGGTTTGTTTGTTTGTTTGTTTGTTGTCTTCTTTGCTAACACATCTACAGTGAAAAATTCAGGCTGGTAGTTTTGGCATAAAGAGGGTGTTAGCCAGTCAAGGAATTTTACACTAATGGGGTGCTGGCTAGCCGGTAGTTGTTCCCAAGCCACACCAGCCATTTTCTCCCTCTTTTTTTTTTTTCCATCGTAAGCCTTGACCGATTTTCTTTTTTTTCCCCCCCCCCCCAGTTTGTCTACTACAGCTCTGTGGTGAGGTAGCGTTCAGTGCTGAATACAATGAAATGCCTCCATCTGGTTGCAAGTCAGTAGCTCCCTCCATCCCACCCCTTTGTCTCTTCCAATGGTGTCTGGGGGTTTGTAATTGGCCCCTTTTATTTTTATTTCTCCAAATACACTTACTCAATTTTTGTGTTTTTTTCACTGCAGTGTCTACATAGTCAATGTCAAAGGCTAATTGTACCACAAACATTCTATAATGTTCATTGTGGTACAGTTCATTGGCATAAAATAATTTATTTGTAAATGGTCCAATTTTATTTCACTTTAAAAAAAAATTATTTATGGTACTCAATATAAACTAGCTTATAACTATATTAAGAAAACTACAAGAAAAAATACTTTTTATTTAAAAGAATTAATGTTTACTGTATATTTTACACAATGTCAAAAAACTGATTACCGAGCTAAATCAGTAAAAAAATTAGAAAAATATAACTTCACATAATCTCTTGTAAATATGTCCAACAAAATGTGTGTACCGTGTTTCCCACACAGATGCGAAGTACGCCGGACTGTGTTCTGGTTATCAACAAACAAACCACTACCTGGATACTACAATAAAAACAAAACCTAATAAAACAATGCTTGTTTTAACATATGAAAATATCTGGCCATGTTAAAATACACGGTAAAAAAAAACACAGTTGTGACCATTACTTACTAAAGTGGAATGTGTGCCAAGTCTTAAGTACAGGTGTATTATACCGTGTTTTGTAGACAGGAGGAAAGGTAATGGGGCCGGTTTGGAGGAAAGGGGGGAAAGAGAGAGAGAAGGGGTGGGCAGATGAAGGACAAGAGAGGGAGAGAAACAAATGGGAGGAGAGGGAGAGGAACAAAGGAGACGAGAGAAAGGAGTGTAGGTAGGGAGGGGAGGAGAAAGGAGGCCAGAGGTAGGTGAAGGGGATGAAAGTGGTGTGTGTGTGTGTGTGTGTGTGTTACACAAGTATAATTACCTAAGTGTAGTTACATACTGAGAGCTATGCTCGTGGTGTCCCATCTTCCCAGGACTCTTTGTCATATAACGCTTTGAAACTACTGATGATTTTGGCCTCCACCATCTTCTCACCTAACTTCTTAAATTTGAGTGAGTGAGAGTGTAAATATGTGTATACATCTGTGTGTGTTTTGTGTGTATGTATAAAGTCATTTCTATTCAACTCTGGATGTGGAGAGAGTCCAATTGATAATAAATTATAGTTTATATCACATTGCATAGCAGTTTTAATGTACAAACATTACTTACCTGAATAAAACACAATTAAGAACTATTAAATTACTGTAGATAGCATGTCAAATTCATAATTGTTAAAAAAATTTAAAATATGACAATCAGGGTCATTAACCATGAGACATAAGGAAAATACTGTACGACATTAAAAATCAAACTCTAAATACTGCAAAAGTTATTGGTTCTAATTTAGGTGTTTTTTAGGGTGGGCAAATATCTTCCTTAACTGGCACGTAACTACCTTATTGTTAATTTTACTCATTTAACTACAGTGATTATGAGCAATCTGACATTTCTTTTCCAATAAGCCATTTACTGAACCACATTTCTGGAAATCAATTTGATAGGTAACCCAAGTCGCCAATCTTGTGTCCGAGTCACCGTCGCACACAACACACACAGGACCGCACTACAGTTCATGGAGATCTGCTAAAGGTTTCTACCTGTATAGGTTAGGCAATTCTCTCAACCTTTCAGCTGCATTTTTTTGTACAATTTTTCCCAAAGACACACAAAGTAAATTATTTCAAATATTTCCTCCATTAAAAATGATATGCAGCTATATGAAAATAGCGAGAAAAATAAGAAAGTCATTTTTGCCAGTGTTGGTCTGAAGCACTTACAAAGTCGACCTTAGAAAACCCGTTCTGCAACTGCCTGTATGCAGCCAAGTATGTTATCACAAAGGCTGCCACACAAACAAAATGCTGTTTACATTTAAAAAGCTTCTAGTATTAAAATTCACTGCTGCATAATGTTTTACCACTATAGTATTTACCAATAAATAATAAAGTTTACATCAATTAAAGTTTTTTTGGTTTTACAAGTCATAAATTACCATTATATTTGAATCAAATATAATACCTTTATTATATTTGTATACAGTATTAATTATTGTATTACAATAATTATTGTATAATATTAATTATTATATTCGTTTCAGTAACTTACTGAGTTTTAGAGCAATAAATTGATGGTAGATGTGGCCGATATCCTGACTGCTTTAAGTTACTCATCACGTGGTAAAGCTTTTAGAAACGTACTGCGGTAATGCAAGGCTATTCGGGAAAACACTGACATAAGCACATCACGCAGCTGAAGGGTTAAAGTTGCATAATATGATCAAGTTTTTAGAATGCACCAAGACAATATTTATATATCAAAGCCAGTTTATTTGTCCACCCTAACAGGAAGAAAAAAATTAACCAATTTTGCCAGTCGAGTAAAAATTAATTCATTTACATAATTTTTATTATACAGTATATATAAAATTAGTTATGAAATGGATGTGTAATAACATCATTACCATGAGGCAAAGTGCTATATTATTTCAAATTACTGTACTAAAAATAAAGAATTTATTAATTAAAAATTTATTATGCGAGTACACATCCAGAATTATCCCAAATTTTAATTACCGTATACATAAACTACTGTATCTAAAAAACAGGAAATATAAAGCTGATAACTTACGGCAATTTGTATGCCTCTAAGAACCTTCTTCTTCTCATTTTCCTTCTGATTACAACCATACAGTAAACACACATTATGATGACGGTTGAGATCCCATACAGGAACACACAAAGGCTAACATCGGTGCTGTTGAAGCCCCATGTATTCAACGGACGAAGAGCTTGGTCCTCGCTAATATTTTGAAGCTTCTTATTCACGGGCAATTTTGGTGTGATCTTTTCCTTTTGTTTGTGTTTATCCAACTCTTCCCTGACTTTAGCCAGTTTGTTTCTCAATGGAACTGAAATTGTTTGGGTCCCTCTGAATGACAGTGCCCCCTTCGCATAAATATTTTTCATATACGTCAGAACTTCCTTTACACTCATTTCACTTTCATTCCAACATGCTGGACATGATTTTTTGGGGGGAAACTGCTGCTTTGGGTGTAACAGATCCTCGGTCGCATCCCCTTTAAGACGCTTGTTAACTTTGTTATGCCCTCTCCACAACCAGAGAATGCCATCATCTGCTACATTTACAGAAGATTCTGCATCCTCTGCATACATCTCTTGGAAATGCTGTGAACAATATTTACAGGAGAAGAAATGCTTCACATACCCATGAATAGCTCGTAATGTTTTCTTGGGATTGTAGAACTCGCTATTTCCATCCTGAAGTACTGCATTTACAGTCAGCACGTGGAATGTTGTCCAAAGACCACAAGGGTAACCTCTGTACCTGGGTTCACTTCCTAGACACCCAATCCATGGTTGATGACTCGGTAGGACAGTATCTGCACCTTGTATGGACTTCATAACTTTAGCAAACTGTGCCCCATTGATGTTGTCCCCATGACTGAGAGTATATTTATACAGCTTTGATAGGAACTTATGGACAACTGGTCTAGCAGGGAGATATCTTACAAGTACATCTAAGAATTCCTGCAGAGATTTAAGTGCTTCTCCACTGATAACTTTAAACTGTATGACTTCATGACCTAATGCATAAGAAATTGCATTTTCAATATCCACCATGTACACTTGGTCTTCTCTCTCTGTCCCAGTAAACGCTGTATCAGGCAAATCGTCTTCATAGTTTAATATATCGCTGTTTATTTCTTCTGGCTGCCCATCTCCAGCTCCTTCCACATCATCCTTCTTCATAGAAGCATCAGTTTTTCGTCCTATAATAGTCAGCAAAATATAATTTGATAGAGAAGGTGGTTAAATTTAAGAAAGAAACTACCCAAATAATTTGATAAAAAATGAGTAACCCCACAAATGTTTAAAAGAAAATTAAATCAAAGTACTGTGACTTAATGCATAGGTCACGCTTATTTTTTCTAATGGTTTATATCTAAAATACTGTACAGCATAGCTATGCTAAACTACACTAAATTTGTCCAATATTTATATTACCTTTCAAATCCTAAGCTAAAGGTCACCCACTTTATGCCAAAAATGTCAAGTTTTATTTAGACTGATGTGCACCTGTTTAGTTCTGCCATTATTGTAATGATTTGCACAAGTTATGAACATAGTTCATGATTCTGAATTTGACAACTTTAATGACTTTTAAGTCACCGATAAATGTAGCTTCTAAATCTAAATTTGAGTATACAGCATATAATTAATTATTGATATTACATATTATGACTCAAATAATTTACTGTAATTTGTGTAAACTAACCCAATTATAAATGACACAAACATTTATGAATAAAGTAAAGTATTTCAATTTGAAAATAACCCACCTGAGAAGATGGTCTTGTATGGTAACATTCCTCGATTTAGACCAAGTTTTTTCATTATCATTTCTTTCAGTTCTTCACGGGTTTTGGGAGCATCTTTCACAACCTCTTCCTTCCCAGTTTTATCAATGAATATAACGACAGGAAGAGTTACAGAGCCAAACTCTCTGGCATCATTTATATCTACTTCCTTGTACCGAACAGCAACCTGTAGTTGAACATGCATTAATATTTGGAAAACATTTATATCAACCTCCTTGTACCGAACAGCAACCTGTAGTTGAACATGCATTAATATTGGGAAAACATTTATATCTACCTCCTTGTACCGAACAGCAACCTGTAGTTGAACATGCATTAATATTGGGAAAACATTTATATCTACTTCCTTGTACCGAACAGCAACCTGTAGTTGAACATGCATTAATATTTGGAAAACACAGTACATTTTGGATTTATTAACAATTGCAATCCATTTATAATATGATTTATGTACAAAGCATCATAATATTCACTACGAAGTCACAATGGCATGAAATACATTATGTGAAAATCATTTTGACAATCCAGTGATTCGAACCAGCATTCTGGGTCACCCCAGCCATGCACCATAACCCACTGGACCATGATATGCTATAAGTAATTTAACCCTGGGATACAATTGAATCCAGTAGGAAGGCACCAAGCCGATACCAAATCAAGCTTTTATAAATTACCTGCATACACTCTGGTGTGGTATAGGATCCCAGGCTAAATTAATTACAGCATATTGTGCACCATTGGGTTAAGGCATGACTGGGGTGACCTAAAATACCACTTTAAATCCCCAGATTGCTCCAATGATTTTCATATAATGTTTTTCATGCCACTATGGAATGTTGTATTTAATTTCCTAGTGTGTATTTGAAGGGAGAATATGGTGTAGAATTCCTGCTGCCCTCCCTGGTCTTCCCTTCCCTTCCCTCCCTCCCTCCCTCCAATCCAAACACCTTATCCCTCCCCCACACGCGCCTCCCTGCCCCTTATCCCTCCCCACACTCACCTCCCTGCCCCTTATCCCTCCCCCACACGCGCCTCCCTGCCCCCTATCCCTCACCCACACTCGCCTCCCTGCCCCCTATCCCTCCCCCACACGCGCCTCCCTGCCCCCTATCCCTCCCCCACACTCGCCTCCCTGCCCCTTATCCCTCCCCACACTCGCCTCCCTGCCCCCTATCCCTCCCCACACTCGCCTCCCTGCCCCCTATCCCTCCCCACACTCGCCTCCCTGCCCCCTATCCCTCCCCACACTCGCCTCCCTGCCCCCTATCCCTCCCCACACTCGCCTCCCTGCCCCCTATCCCTCCCCACACTCGCCTCCCTGCCCCATCCCTTCACCTCACTATTAGAACTTTTACAGTAAAGAGGATAACCACTTATTTATAACCAAATTGTTACCGATAACCAAAATTTCTATTAAAGTTAAAAAGTCGCGCACTCTAATTGTCAATTCATTTGGGTTACCGGAATTTGGATTACCAAGCTCTTACAGTAGTTATGAATACACGAAAATCAAGCAAAAAATTACTTTTGCATATTTGACTCCATTATCTGCTGGTTTAACACAAACTTTTAAGTCTCATTAGCTACGATTTGTGCTTCCTAATCATAGCTGCTTTCCAAGAGTATTTTTAGTATAATATAATTATCTGGCATGTTCCAACTTGTAATATTTAGTTATGCTGGGCTTACCAGCTCTACTGGAGACTGTACCATCAAAGGTTAGGGATAATAATGCTGAATATAAACAGTGGTGTCAGATGTTAAGTACACATGCTTCACGAGAGGATCTAGATTCAGTTTCTAGGCACCCTAGACAGGCTAGAACAAGTTAGCACCTAGATACAAAATTGACAGATTGTGTTCCAGAATAAACATGAGCTGAGGTAAGAAAAGATTTCATCCTGTGAACAAGAGGCAAAAGGTATTTGCTTTTGTATCTCCAGTGCGGTAAAAATAATTATATTTATGTATTTCAATTCCTTACTTACACCTATAACAGATGAACACAAAAATACAAACAGCGAGTCATAAAAATGGCAAGTCAATCCAGATATTCTAGAAATGAAAGGCTCGAGTACTCACAGTGGAATAACCTCCAAGGTCAAGAATGGTACTCCAACTTCTATAAGATTTAGGAACATCAACAATAACTATCACATGCTCTACAGTTCCATAATTCCGCACTTCTGACCATGCATCAGCTGCTGCTCCTCTGCAAAGAGTATTTGTTTATAAAAATAATTAGTATAGTGTATAATGAAATCAGACAGGTTTTACAATTTACAGACATCAATATCACAACATTACAGTAATAGATTGTTACCCTACTTTTCCCCACAGGCACTCACCTGGAGAAATAAAAGAAAAAGCTTGGCAATAGCTACATACAATAAAATAACCTTGACAGAATAAATAGCGCCGAGTGGTCTACATCCTTGGCCCATAATCAAGTGACCCAGAGTTCAATCTCTGGGGAGGACACAAACAGTTTGACATGCTTCCTTTCACTTGATGCCTTGTTCACCTATCAGTGAAATAGCTACCCAGGAGTTAGACACTGTTTTGAGTTGCATCCTTGGGAAGGTCAGTCGATGGCCTTGGGAAACCTCCCCAAGCCATAGGTACATGCTTCCTGTCCCCAACAATGGGAATTATTATTATTATTTGATACCATAGATAAGACACACACTTCAAGGCACAGAGATAGCAGCTGCAATTGGGAAAACCAAGTGATCGAGTCTTACATACACTAACGACACCTGTACTAACAAAGGATCACAGCAAAACCCTGGAGATTAATTTTTCATTCTTAGCTACACTATCTGGTAAAATAACCACATTATATACAACAGTTTTCAGAAGATATTATAGGTAAAAAAAAGTTTCAGTATTAAGAATATTGATACAGTATTACAGTATCAAACAAGTATCAACCAGGTATTGGGGCTATTGAACAAAATTTTATGCACAATACAGTACAGGTAATTAAGTCATTATATATTTTCTTGTCTAGCACCAAGATTATAATTTAATTATAATAATTTTGTTAGAAACAGGAAGCCTGTGTATATATATACTTTAGGCTTATATTCAGGTCCTCTTTAAGGCTGAACTATTCACCCTCCCCAGCATGCAAAGCAACAACAGTTGCCCAACTCCCAGGTACCTTTATACTGCTAGGTAAACACTTATCATAAGGAAAACATGCCCAATGGTTTATTTTAAGAGTGCTAAACTGTTTCATTAAATTACCGGTATGGTTGAAGATTTACCCATGATGAAGAGCCATTATTAGCCCTCTGCTTCTCGACGAGGAAGTCGATGACAGAGTTGCCCATCTCCTCTATCGTTGAAGACCGTTTCATATCCGTGCCCACATCTCCCTGTAAATATAGAGCAGCTGGTTAGAACACTATAGCTGTGATATACTGTACAGTGGAACCTCTATTAACGAGTTTAATCCGTTCTGGCACCGAGCTCGTTACCTGAAAAACTCGTCTTAAGAAACAAATTTGCCCATTTAAAATAAAGGAAATAAATTTAATCCGTTCCACTCCCAAAAACATCCATACTTGTATGACATTTTTTTATGTAAATATAATACTGCACATGTAAATATAAATGTTTTGTTGTAGTGTTTTAATGTTTACTTTACCTTATGAAGAGTAGTTGCTGGCTTGAGGGAGACGATGGAGAGTTGGAAAGGAGGAGAGGGGTTATGGTGTGGAAGGAGAATCTACCTCTTGAGTCAGGCGGACTCTTCTTCTTGGGAATTTCACCCAAATTTCATTTCAAATGTCACACAAGGATGCGTTAGACCAGCACCAAATAAAAAACTACATCGATTACACTCGTCGTGTCAACAATATAATGGTCTTACCACGAAGATACAATACAGTGTCGTTCTCCCAAATAGGCAATGTGGTTATTAGAAAAAACGGAAATTTCATGGCAAACATGTATACAATCCCCATGTCGATCGGATAAGAATTGGATTTTAAAGAAATATTTTCTCAAATGACGCTTGAGCGCGGTGTTTGGGTGCATTCAAGAGAAAAAATTGTGTCACGTTCAAGCGACATATACCTGCGAAAGTGATAACACTTTCACAAAGTGTTATCACAAAGTGATAAATTAATTAAACATTTTCACACACCAGGTTGTCACTGCTTTATCAGGGCAGCTTTTCCAAGAATGCGTTCACCTTTTCAAACATTCCAAACACTTCCCTGATCTCAGTGGAAGATGCAGCATCCTCCCTTACCTCCTCATTCCCTTACTAATGGTGTAAATTGTTGATAAGGACCTGCCATACTCCCTTGTGAGATCAGTCACACAGACACCACACTCATGCTTTGGTATAATTTCCTTCTTCAAATCCATAGTAATTGTGTCTTTCTTCCTCTTGACAACACTATCTTTAGCAAGTAGCTTCTTTGGAGACATCGTGTGTTACAAATTGTAGTTGCAAAACCACTAAAAACCCAAAGAAAAGCTCAAATAAATCCAAAGGGATGCTTGTCGTGTGCGATACAACAACAACACTGGCATCAGAGGCGTCCGAGAATTTGCGAGAACTCGCGAGATGCTAGGAAGCACCATGTGGTTTTGCTCATTAATAGAGGCGAGCTCGTCAATAGAGACAAATTTGCTGCGAGTGGCTTGCTCGTTACTGGAAAAACTCGTTAATAGAGCCACTCGTTAATCGAGGTTCCACTGTATATATAAAATATTTATACAAAATAATTTTTAATGGTTAAAAAAAAAGTTAAACCAAGTATCATGATCATATTTAATATGTATATGCATGAACAAATGTAAAGGTCAAATTGGAAAAAAATTATTTTAGTGCCACTGGTTCTGTGAGGAATCCTGTTACTGATGATCAGCTGTTTATATTTTATACATCAGTCTGTAGGAGTGCTTCAGGCTTCCTGATTTTACACCGACATTCTTGCATCTTTTGTTCTCTATTGCATTCTACTACCAACACTGGTGCATACCAAATAATTGTGTATTCCACCATCCCCACACTCTTTAATTCATCCCCAATCATACTAGTGCATTTTTCTCCCCCCCCCCCTCACGCACACTCGTCTATTTTGCTCCTCCCCGTAACCCCCCCCCCAAACAACCACCCACACACAGAATTAGGTAAGGTTACCTTGGTTACCTTGAGGTGCTTCCGGGGCTTAGTGTCCCCGCGGCCCGGTCGTCGACCAGGCCTCCTCGTTGCCGGACTGATCAACCAGGATGTTGGACGCGGCTGCTCACAGCCTGACGTATGAGTCACAGCCAGGTTGATCAGGTATCCTTTGGAGGTGCTTATCCAGTTCTCTCTTGAACACTGTGAGGGGTCGGCCAGTTATGCCCCTTATGTGTAGTGGAAGCGTGTTGAACAGTCTCGGACCTCTGATGTTGATAGAGTTCTCTATCAGAGTACCAGTTGCACCTCTGTTTTTCAACGGGGGTATTCTGCACATCCTGCCATGTCTTCTGGTCTCATGTGATGTTATTTCTGTGTGCAGGTTTGGGACCAGCCCCTCTAATATTTTCCACGTGTAAATTATTATGTACCTCTCCCGCCTGCGCTCAAGGGAGTACAGTTTTAGGCTCTTTAGTCGGTCCCAATAGTTTAGATGTTTTACCGAGTGGATTCTAGCAGTAAAGGATCTCTGCACGTTCTCCAGGTCAGTAATTTCTCCAGCTTTGAAAGGTGCTGTCATTGTGCAGCAGTACTCTACTCTTAGAGAGCACAAGCGTTTTGAAAAGTATCATCATCGGTATGGCATCTCTAGTGTGAAAAGTTCTTGTTATCCAACCTGTCATTTTTCTTGCAGTTGTGACGGCTACTTTATTGTGTTCTTTAAAGGTAAGGTCTTCCGACATGAGTACACCCAGATCCTTTACATTGCCCTTTCGTTCTATGTTATGATTTGCCCGAGTTTTGTACGTGGTTTCCGTTTTTATATTTTCATTTTTTCCATAGCGCATGAGCTGGAACTTATCTTCGTTAAACACCATATTATTTTCTGTAGCCCATAGAAAGACCTGATCTACATCTGACTGGAGGTTCGCCGTGTCCTCTATGTTGCCTACTCTCATGAAGATCCTAGTGTCATCTGCAAAGGATGATACAGTGCTATAGGTTGTGTTCTTGTCTATGTCCGAAATGAGGATGAGAAAAAGTACTGGAGCAAGCACAGTACCCTGAGGGACTGAGCTCTTCACGGTTGATGGGCTGGATTTTATTTTGTTGACTATTACACATTGGGTTCTGTTGGTCAGGAAATTGTAGATCCATCTGCCTATTTTTCCGGTAATTCCTTTTGAACGCATTTTATGTGCAATAACACCATGGTCACATTTATCAAAAGCTTTTGCGAAATCTGTGTAAATTACATCCGCGTTTTGTTTGTCTTCCATAGCATCTAATGCCATATCATAGGGGTCCAGCAACTGCGACAGGCAAGAGCGCCCTGTTCTGAAACCATGTTGTCCGGGATTATGGAGTTGCTGTGATTCCATGTATTTTGTGATTTTACTTCTTAGCACTCTCTCAAAAATTTTTATGTGCGATGTTAGTGCTATCGGTCTGTAATTTTTTGCCTCTGCCTTATTTCCTCCTTTATGAAGTGGTGCTATCTCTGCTGTTTTTAGTATATCAGGAATAACGCCAGTATCTAGGCTTTGTCTCCACAGAATGTGGAGGGCCTGCGATAGTGGTTTTTACAAGTAAAAAACCTTACCTTTTTTTTTTAAGGTAAGTACATATGACTACACACACACACAAGGGAAAGGGAAAGAGCACAAGAAGTGAACCCAGATGTAATCGGACTCACCGAAACAAAACTCTCTGGAATCATAACGAATGCCGCGTTTTCCCAGGAGTACACAGTAATAAGGAAAGAGAGGGAAGGTAGGGGAGGAGGCAGAGTGGCCCTACCCATGAGAAAGGAATGAAGCTTTAAGGAGATGGCCATCCCGGGCTGTGAGGAGTTCAGGGACTACATAGCAGGCACCATGACAATGGGAGGACCAAGAATAGTAGTAGCAGTAATATACAACCCTCAACCCGTTCTCGCAAATTTAATAAGTCAATATTGACTTATTAAATATGTGCATAGGTGACATACTTAACATAATAGATACCCTTAAGAAGATTCATAGAAAACACCGACCTTACCTAACCTTGTTAGTATCTTAAGATAAGCATCTTATTGCTTCGAATATACAATTATTACCTAACCTATAATAGGTATAGGTTAAGTAATAATTGTAATTACGAAGCAATAAGATGCTTATCTTAAGATACTAACAAGGTTAGGTAAGGTCGGTGTTTTCTATGAATCTTTTTAAGGGTATCTATTATGTTTAGTATATCACCTATGCACGTAGTTAATAAGTCAATATTGACTTTACGAATTTGCGAGAACGGGTTGACAACCCTCCACCAAATGACAGAAGACCCAGTCAAGAGTATGAAAACAACAACATGGCAGTTAACACTATAATTGAGAGGGCAGCCTCTGCTGCCTGTAGAAATAGATCCCACCTGCTCATCATGGGCGACTTCAATCACGGAAGGATTGACTGGGAGAACAAGGAACCGCATGGAGGCGAGGATACGTGGAGAGCCAAACTATTGGAGGTGGTGACAAGAAACTTTTTAACCCAGCATGTCGGAGAACCCACAAGGATGAGAGGCAATGATGAACCAGCGAGACTCGACCTAGTCTTCACTCTGAACGACTCCGACATAAGAGAAATCAGTTTTGAGGACCCAGTAGGAATGAACGACCACAGTGTATTGGTGTTTGAGTACTTGATTGAAGAAGGGTTATTGAACTCGAGGAGGGATACCGAAACCAAAAGGTTAGCATACCGAAAGGGAAACTATGAGGGGATAAGAAAATTCCTAACAGATATAGCATGGGAAACAGAGCTCAGGGGAAAGACGGCCCAAGATATGATGGATTACATCATGCAGAAGTGCAAGGACGCAGCAAACAAGTTTGTCCCAGTCCAAAAGGAAAACAGAGAAATGAAAATGAGAAACCCATGGTTTAATTAGAGATGTAGGCTAGCTAAGCAGCAAAGTAAAAGGGCATGGAGAAACTATAGGAATAACAGGACACTGGAGAGCAGAGAAAGATACCAGAATGCCAGGAATGAATATGTCAGGATGAGAAGAGAGGCAGAAAGACAATACGAAAATGACATCGCAAGCAAGGCAAAGACTCAGCCTAAATTGTTGCATAGCCACATCAGGAGAAAAACAACAGTAAAGGAACAGGTTATGAAATTAAGGATAGGGGCGGAAGGATTCACTACAAATGACAAGGAAGTGTGTGAGGAATTGAATAAGAAATTCCAGGAGGTCTTCACCTTAGAGCAAGGAGAAATTCCAGAGGTGAGGGAATAGCTAACCAGGAACCACTGGAAGAGTTTGAGATTGCCAGCGGGGAAGTAAGGAAGTGTTTACTAGAGTTGGATGTGACAAAGGCTATAGGCCCAGATGGAATCTCCCCTTGGGTTCTAAAGGAAGGAGCAAGAGAACTGTGCCTACCACTCTCCATAGTGTATAACAAATCACTGGCAACAGGGGGAACTGCCAGATATTTGGAAAGCAGCTAACGTAGTCCCGATATACAAGAAAGGGGATAGACAGGAGGCACTGAACTACAGGCCAGTGTCCCTAACCTGCATACCATGCAAGCTGATGGAGAAGATTGTGCGAAAAAAAACTAGTGGAGCATCTGGAGCGAAGGAACTTTGTAACACAGCATCAACATGGGTTCAGGGATGGCAGGTCCTGCCTCACAGGGTTACTTGAATTCTACGACCAGGCAACAAAAATAAGGCAAGAAAGAGAAGGGTGGGCAGACTGCATATTTTTGGATTGTCAGAAAGCCTTTGATACAGTGCCACACAAGAGGCTAGTGCGAAAGTTGGAGATGCAGGCTGGAGTGAAAGGGAAGGTACTCTGGTGGATAGAGGAGTACCTAAGCAACAGGAGACAACGAGTCTGTGCGAGGGGTGAGGTCTCAGATTGGCGAGACGTTACAAGTGGAGTCCCGCAGGGGTCAGTCCTTGGACCTATACTGTCTCTGGTATATGTAAATGATCTCCCAGAGGGTATAGATTCGTTCCTCTCAATGTTTGCCGACGATGCAAAAATTATGAGGAGGATTGAAACAGAGGATGATAGTAGGAGGTTACAAGATGACCTAGATAGACTGAGTGAATGGTCCAACAAATGGCTGTTGAAGTTCAACCCGAGTAAATGCAAAGTAATGAAACTAGGCAGTGGAAACAGGAGACCAGACACAGGATACAGAATAGGATATGAAGTACTTAATGAAACAGACAGAGAGAAAGATCTAGAAGTTGATATCACACCAAACCTCTCTCCTGAAGCCCACATAAAGAGAATAACGTCTGCGGCATATGCGAGGCTGGCTAACATCAGAACGGAGTTCAGGAACCTGTGTAAGGAATCATTCAGAATCTTGTACACCACATATGTAAGACCAATCCTGGAGTATGCGGCTCCAGCATGGAGCCCGTACCTTGTCAAGCACAAGACGAAGCTGGAAAAAGTCCAAAGGTATGCTACTAGACTAGTCCCAGAACTAAGAGGCATGAGTTATGAGGAAAGGCTGCGGGAAATGCACCTTACAACACTGGAAGACAGAAGAGTAAGGGGGGACATGATCACAACCTACAAAATCCTCAGGGGAATTGACCAGGTAAACAAGGATGAACTATTCAACACTGGAGGGACGCGAACAAGGGGGTCCCCGGAAGCACCTCAAGGTAAGGTAACCCAAATGAGCCACAGAGACATTAGAAAGAACTTTTTCAGTGTCAGAGTAGTTAGTAAATGGAATGCACTAGGAAGTGATGTGGTGGAGGCTGACTCCATACACAGTTTCAAATGTAGATATGATAGAGCCCAGTAGGCTCAGGAATCTGTACACCAGTTGATTGACTGTTGAGAGGCGGGACCAAAGAGCCAAAGCTCAACCCCCGCAAGCACAATTAGGCGAGTACACACACACTTGTACATCTCCACCCCCAACACACACAAACTAGAAAGTTCACAATACAATCAGTAGTTTCAAAACATCATATGACAGCATACTGGAAAGATAGGACTCCATGAGCATAACTCATCTTATAACTACCCTAACATAATTACACTTTGGCATAGCTACTTTCCCCGACACATACTTGGCAACTAGAAGCAGCAAATGAAGATAAAGGAGGCCAGATTAACACACCAAGCTGTTGAGCATTACAGAGAGCATCATGTTACTATGCTTCCTTTAAACAGTCCCTGCCATTATCCGAGTGCACCCGCGCACAGATTTTAGCCGATCATCGAGTATTTAGCCTGCCTGCATATAGTTGCTGTTTACACATTTGCTTTATAGATGCAGTTAAGTTTATGTCATGTCAAACAGTAAAAAACATTTTTACAAAGGCAAAAGATCAAGCAAACTGCTTATTGTGAACAACCAATTTACTAACCTTGTTTGTGCGAGCAGCAAATAGCATGACAGTTGGGTAACCCATAACTTCATGTTCTCGACATATGGGCACATTATCATCCTCGGCACAGTCAAGGACGCCAACTTTCACCGTGTGTTCCCAATCTGAAACGGATTCAAGATTAATTGTAAAAAATACTGTATATTAAATATAATAAAGGCAAATGAATTGATATATCTGTACAGTACTTATATCAGCACTGTCTTATCTGCCTTTGATAGCTAGTGCGCAGGTAAGGACATGATGTAAGGTGTAATGGTGGTAGTCTATGCTACTCAATTCTGAAGACTACAGTCAAAATACAAATGTAGTAATGCTTGTAACAAAAATTTAAACCTCAGTGAGTTGGAATAAGTTCTGTGTTACATGCTTAAATAGTTTACAATAATAATAATCATACTATTGCACATTCCTCACCAAAAGAACCGCTTATGAAAATATAAGACAGAAAATCTTTATTTTGTTAGGAAAGTTGGAAAAATCTCAATGTTCAAAAAACCCTGTCCAAAATTATACCAAATAACTGAGCGGGTGTGGACTGTATCAAGAAGCAGATGGGAGGCATATGTTAGCTTCTCTTATCAAATGCCAGTCTGTTGAAAGCCAATGCACCCACACACATTTCAGAATCACTTTTAAGTACTGTACACAAATGAAGAAATACGGAGGAGCTTGTTCACAACTTTGAGATTAAAACTGAATATGTAGCAGTTATAATGTGCCTATATCTCTAGTAGAACATCAATAAACTGGAAAGGGTGCAAAGACATGCTACTACATGGTATCTGGAACTGAAAAAGTAGTTATGAGAAGAAGCTAGAGATGTTAAATATGCAAAGCGAGAAGATAAACGGAAAAGAGGTGACATGATCACGACATACAAAATAGTAACAATTCGACACTGGACAAAGAGGAATTATTAAAACGTGTAACTCCACGAGATTCAAGCTAAGGAAACAAAAATAACAAAAAATAAAAGTAAGAGCTCTTTTGCAGGAAAGATTGATGGTTGTTGGACAAGATGGTTGGAACAAGTCAAGTGAGAAGGCAGTGGATCCCAAACCATCCATAGTTTCAAAATGTCATATTACAAAGATTACTGGGAAGAATGGACACCACAAGAGTAGCTCATCCTATAGCTATACTTAGGTAACTACGAGCATACACCCTTGCTTTGTCCCACCCTTCCACCTACACATCAGAATATTGTTCAGAAACCTAAATCAGGATTCAAGGCAATCTACATGTGGTTTATTTGCTCCTCGGCTCTCTCTTGCCTATTTATTGCCTGTCTCTACTTCCTCATCACAATCGAATTGAGAATGGTCCAGGACGGACCGAAACGTCGTCGTCCCTTCACCTTCTAGTGTGTGGTCTGGTCAACATACTTTAGCCACGTTATTGTGACTCATCGCCTACATGTGGTTTGTTAGACTAATCTATATATATATATATATATATATATTATATATATATAAATGCCTGTATATCTTTGTGAAGAAAGAAAGAGAAAGAGAGAAGGTGGGGGCGGGAAACAAAGACCTAGGCACTGCCAAGTACCGCTAGAAGTATCACAAGTACCAACTATCTATACAGTACAAATTATAATAAGAGAATGTCAGTTTGTTAGTTCAAAGTTGGAGGCCATATGCTTGGGGTTAGGCTCACCCAAATTTACAGAGAGAATAGTCTGGGTTATGGAATGAACATATTCTATTCAGGGTCACCAGAATTCAGGAGGGAACAGAGTGCCAGGGTCACATTCAGACACCACACAATTTTTGGCACTGCCCACCAGATACACAGTTAAATATTTTCAAACCAAACTTTTCAAAACTACAGTATTTTGTTTTTCTTATGGCAATATGCACCAATGTTCACAGAATTTTTGAAAAATTCACAGAATTTTTTAAAAATTCACAGAACTTTCCGATTGATAATTTGCCCGTACAGTACTTGCATAAAACAAACAATTCTTTTAGATCTTCAAAAGGTTTCTCAAGCCACAGTCCTTTAATAGAGCAAGGGGTAACTATTTTTTTTTGTAGCATTTCACACCACTAAGCTCCTCTCACTGGCTACCACCCAAACATTAGACAATTACAGTATATTTTTTTATAAAAGAAAGAAAGAGAGGGGCAGAACTGAGACAGGCAAAGACAGTGAGAAACGGGTAGAGAATAAGAGACAGACAGTAGATAGATGGATGGAGAGATGGATCAAGAGATGGATACATGGACAAATAGGCTTGGGTAATACCAGGTACCCCCCCTTTGTACATCTACAAAAAGAAAGGTTGGAAGCCAGACATTTTAGGCTAGACTGATTGGTAATTTTATGGGGAGTCTCATAGGGTTGGCCCCTACATTTACCCTTTGAAGGAGAATTGGGCTCTGCATCCCTATCATGAAGCTGGAGAATGTGAAATGTGCATCTAAAAATCCGTAGAGTTTATCGTTCATTTAAATATTATTGTATTCGGAAATTGACATGCAAAATAATGTTCTGATCACAGATTTGCATTCTTGGCTCAACCTTTAGGGTGTAGTGATGTTGATAGTGTGTAGTGAATATGGTTACTATGATAGGGTGATATGGGGAGGGCATGCATGGGTAGAGGCTGGGATGATGAGTATAAATGGAGATGGGTATGGTGTGACTATGTTCACTGTGATGACTGTGTTTAGAGAATAGTTACAGTAATGAGAGACATGGAAGGTTTGTGTGAAGGGGTGTGACAGAGAAGGTGTATGTGGTTAGAGACTGAGAGGATGGTGCTCACTTGTGAGGTGAGCACCAGACAGCCTCCAGGTGGGCACGAAGGTGATACAGTGACCGCACCACAACACAACATTACAACACAACATTACAACACAACACAGCACCACAACAACACAGCACCACTATAACACAGCACCACTATAACACAGCATCACAACACAGCATCACAACACAGCACCACTATAACACAGCACCACAACACAACCACTCACCCGCCAGGTGAGCACCAGACAACCTCCAGGTGGAAACGAAGGTGATGCAGTGACAGCACCACAACACAGCACCACTATAACAGCACCACAACACAGCACCACTATAACAGCACCACAACACAACACAGCACCACAACACAGCCACTCACCCGCCAGGTGAGCACCAAACAGCCTCCAGGTGGGAGCGAAGGTGATACAGTGGCCGCACCAGGAGCTGTAGAACTCCACCACCCAGGCCGAGGGCGAGCCGTGGACGGTGGAGGAGAAGTTACTGTGGTCGAGGATGACCAGCTGGTCGGTGGTGTTGTAGAGGGAGGCGGCGGCCAGCAGGAAGCAGGAGGAGAAGTGGAGGGAGAGGAGAGCGAAGAGAAGCAGTGGCGGCCGCGGCTCCATCCCGACGTCTGACATCAACACTAGACAACACTAGTGTTCGATTCCCTGCTTCTGGCTTCACCCCGCGCTTCTCCTCTATGCCTTTTGATTTATTTATGTATTTATTCAATCATTTATTTATTTATCTTATATATATGCAATAAGGTACATTGGGTTTGTGAGGACACATAGCGTGGTACAGTGTTTGTATTCTTGTAAAGTCATTAGTACGCGCAGCGTTTCGGGCAGGTCCTTATAATCTAACAGATAATTATAATTAGGTAAATTCTAGCAGAATTTATAAAATGAAAACAGATATATTATAAGAAAAAAATGAGATGAGAGAGGTTAGTAGGTATGTTAAAGCATATCGGTAGCTCTGATTGATTGTATTGACAGTTTGATTGGTAATTTAACAAAGATTAATAGGCACAATACAACATAATGGGCTCAGGGACTGAAACCCACAATTAATTTAACTAAGCAAGTAGCGCCTATTTCCCGCACTTCCCTTCCCAGCGGAAGTTACAGCCCCGCTCCTGTACCACGTAAGTCCACTACGGGCTCGCCATAGCCCGTGCTACTTGGAACTTTTTGTTCCGAGTAACTGAATCTAAAATAACAACCTTCCCACACTAAGACAATCACGTGGCGTCGCCCCCTGCGTGACGTCACACAGGTTACTCTTGGCACTCCGTATGAAAGATTGTCAACCTGTCTCCTGCGCGGTCCTCTATGTATGGGCCTCTCACGTCACACTCCACATGTATAACTTCTCGAGGTAATACCACTCAACACTAAAATAAAATACAAAATATTTATAAGATAAAATATTTGTGCTATAAGTTATCATTCCATGCAGCCTCAGCCACGTCACTTATACCGCGTGGCAGGAAATATTAAATGAAAACTTTCATCGCTGTACCGAATATAATAACTGCATTCACTGTAACGTGCTGTTTATGTCTTGCAATGGCTGTCAACAGTTGTTCCATATTCGGTTATACTCGATTTGTAATTACCGAGTCACAGGAGACGTTCGTATATAGGATACACAAGTACAGCCACGTTGACGCATTTCTCAATGTTATAAACAGTCCTTCATGTAGCATGCCAACACAGCCTTTATGTACGCACACCTTAAGTCTCAATGTTGCGCGACACCTGCACAACACCCGGAAAATTGTTATTCTTAGGTCGTAAACTGTTATTCACTCGAGAAGCAGCCTTATAGGTTGGCCGGGGCGGGCAGCTCCTCTCTCCGCCATGACACAGGCCATCCTGCAGGCAATACAGTGCCATGTATGCAGAATTATGTTAATTTATTATATATAATGAGTGTGTTTGAGATGAAGGTATTAAACCTACTTGAGAAGGCTACCCCACCACTTGCGTCTAAGATTGGGAACCGCTCATTTATAAGGCTGCGAAGGGTATGGTTGATATCTATACCCCTAAACATCGTAGCCAAAGCGAACAATGCATCACTGCCAAATACTAGTATCGCTGCTTTAAGCAATGTTCAGTGAAAGCCAGAGCTCATCAGTGTTCTAGCCACGTCCTGTCTAACTCTTGTAATGGTTGAGAAACCTACACAAGAAAGTAACAGGTGAAATTTATATGACAGTTCTCTTAACATTATCTTTAACCACATTAAGATACATGTCTATGATGTTGAAATTATATTAGATTCTTTATCTATATATTTGCATGTGTTTTGTGTTCTTTCTATTGATACTAAATGCACAAATATTTCATTCAAAATTATCTTCAACTAGAAATGTTTAGGTAAATATTCCCAATTTGCTAAGTGTAATTAGTAGATGTGGGTGACTAACTATTCCGCCGCTGCCCTTTGTTCAAGGTCAAGTATGTTTATTGAGACAAGAAAGAAATACGTCTCAAAGGGATAGAGTAGCTTAGGCTATTTGGACGGTGAGGGCGCGCATAATATGCAAATCAAACTAGCTTAAGGAATAATAATAATAATAATTTATTCACAAGAAGGCACAATGGGTTGGTGATATTACATAATATTGGTATTTTTCTTGTAAAGTCACTAACACGCATAGCGTTTCGGGCAGGTCCTTAGTCTAACATTTGGAAATATGTTATATAAATAATATATATATAATATATATATATATATATATATATATATATATATATATATATATATATATATATATATATATATATATATATATATATATATAAATAAATGTAAGTTGCTTACCCTGGTGCCTTGTGGTCGTTTTCGAACCCATTGTTGGTATAATAAATCACTGAACTGTTGTAACTAGCTTATCAAGATTGTAACTGAAATTTTGGGGTTCAGTTCCTGAGAGATTAATATTAAGTTCTTCTGTAACCGTTTCCGTTATTGCCGTTCAGGATGGGTATGGGGTGTATAATAAATGAGCTAACGAAGAACAACTGCTAATAGGTTACAACCAGGAAACACATGACGTAGCCGGAATAGCATAACTTTATTACGCTCTTAAAAAGTTGTAACAACATAACAATAGTTGAAATACAGAGATGTTTGTGACAGTCAATGCTAAGCTTTCTATAGCCTAGTATAGTCTGTCATCTATGACGCGTTAGGAAATGTATATGTTTATCTCTCAGAATGTTTGGTAATACGTTTATTGTTTGTGATGTGTGTCTATGTATGTATTAACACGATGTACTAAACGGGGTGATAATAGCTTGAGCTACCTCATCCCTTTGTGTGTATTTTACCTCAATAAACTTATTTCAATTTCAATTTCAAATTTCTATGACGCGGGTACCAAAGCACACAAGCTGGGAAAGCTTTGATATCGGTATGTGTATTGTTATCTCCAGCAGCTCCCGTTAGATAAGTGTGCAAGGAACACAGATGTGGTCCCCAAGTTTGCAGGGACAATAACACCACGCAGGAGCTGGTCGGCCGAGCGGACAGCACACTGGGCTTCTGATCCTGTGGTCCCGGGTTCGATCTCGGGCTCCAGCGAGAAACGATGGGCAGAGCTTCTTTCACCCTATGTCCCTGTTACCTAGCAGTAAATAGGTACCTGGGAGTTAGTCAGCTGTCACGGGCTGCTTCCTGGGGGTGGAGGCCTAGTCAAGGACAGGGCCGCGGGGACACTAAAGCCCCGAAATCAACTCAAGATAACCTCAAGATAGCTGTTCTTTTCGCAAAACGTTCCCTTCATACCCAGGACGGTTTTCAGCTTGGGTACTCGATAGTGGTATGGGGAGATTTTTGTCCAAGATGGCCGCAGTGCCCACTTCGACTCGTATCAGAATGGTTTCTAACTCTGGGAAAGCTTCTAGCTAAATACTGCCGAGGACCACAATTATTCAGAACGTTTTTACGCAGCGTAATACCATGTTTACGTTAACAATTTGTTCTAATGAAAGAAAAATCTTGGATTAAAAGGAAAGTAAGTTACCGTTTAGGTGGGTGAAAAAATATATTATCAGCCATATCTTTTCCTAAAAAAAGAAAATATGTCTCCCTTAATAGCCCGTCGCATTTTGACTTATATTTATACGACCAAAAACTGTCGTACTATAAAATTGGTAACGGCTTACGAAATTAACATAATGTCTTCGTATTGTGTTCGTCAGAGGTGGGACCTCTGGTAGGTTAGAATAGGGCTCTTAAATACAATTTCTTGACGTTGGGAACACTCGCGAGAACGGGCTGATCTATAAGTCTGTTGGAGGATGGAGGCCAGATGTTTGGGGCTAGCCTTGCCAAGCTTTGCAGGATGACTGGTGATTGTTCAGGGATGGTCATAGGCGGGTTTGGGTTACAGCCTACACAATATTTGTCAGTGACACTGATCTCTAATTTAGTACCTCCTGTCTATCCTATTTTTTCGGAGTATTGGGACTACGTTCCCTATATTCCAAAATTATTTTGTCGAGTGTTTTATTGATAACTTTAGTTAGTGGGTGGTCAAGTACCTCTGTAGCCTCCTTCAAGAACAGTGATGAGACTAAATCTGTTTTTATTGATTTTGTTACATCTATAGTTCCTCTACGTAGACAATGGCTTAATTTCACTAGCTGTTGCGGAAGAGAAACATCAAGATATATGTGGGAAAAATCCAGAAAACTAAAGGAAGCCTATTGCGACCTAAACCCGCCCCCCCCCCCCACACACACAGGCCCAGTAAGCTTAACAAACTTATAAGCTTGTGGAGTGATGCAATGTGCGTGTTTCTGACGTGAAAAATAACTTGCAAACTCTATAATAATTTAAAACATCACACAACAATTCCAGATTCCTGAAACTGTGTCATGCGTGGGCAGCAGAATTGTACCTAAACGCTTTTATATTTTCAGTATCTGGATTAACGTAATCGTGTTTAAACAAGTAATTCGTTTAAAATTGAGGAAGATGACTCCACCAGCCACTGATGGCAGAATAAGCTCAGGTAATTTGTAGCCTCATTGCCAGATGTGGTTCATTGAGCGGGGCGCACCTCACCTGTGTTGATGGTGTGTTGATATAATAAACTATCCTCTATTACTGTCACTCGCCCACACCTGCACCACACACACCTGCACCACACACCCAGCCCACACCTGCACCACACACACACACACCTATACGTCAATGTTTGCCGACAACCACAAGCTGATGAGGAATGTAAAAACTGAGTACTGCCTACCGTTAAAGAATGATCTTGACAAACTCTAAAAATGAGCAAATAATGGTTGCTAGAATTTAATCCCATCAAGTGTAAGGTCATGAAGATGAGAAAGTGAGAAAGGAGACCAGGGGGGGGGGAAATCTATACCATAACAATACAACTATAGGAGCCAGAGAGAAAGAAATGATTTGGGCTGGGATATAATTCCAACACTTTCTCCAGAGGCAGACATAAACAGATTAACATGGACATTGTATGCGTAATTGTTGTTTAATTTAATAATTTAATAATAACAGAATCGGCTACCTAAAACTTTGAGGTGAATACAGGAGTAGAGGACTTCTGACTCCTGTTAGCAGGCTGAGAACTTTCCCTTCCCACTGAAAGCCTCAATCTATATACTAGTTTCCCCCCTGGAACACGATCCGCCATTCGGTTTTCAACCAGGTCCTCAATTACTGCTGGGTGGACCTGGGCGAACAGTTAAGGATTGTAACAAGCTAAGCTTGCTGGTAAGTTAACGAGTGCACACCATGAGCTGATAGGTTAACTACCAAAGCAATAGTTAACACCACCTTAACTATCAGAAATGAAAAGCACAAATACAGTTTGTGCCACGAAACACAAGTTGGGCGTGGTTGGTGTCAGTATACCCTTGTTGATAGTGGCGGGGCTAACCCATTCTCTATCCTTACCCCCCCCCCCCAAAGTGCGGCCCATCCTAAACACGTTTTTGTCACTCTTATCGTACTATGTTTTCAAATTCTGCATTTTCTCAAATATCTTTAAATATCATTATATATATATATATATATATATATATATATATATATATATATATATTAGATTTTGGTCCATAATTAGGCCTAGGCTAGGTGTTTAGGTTCTGTTGGCAATTATTTGTGTTTTAAGTACATGGTGAAGCATTGCAACCTGTCCTCGACTCAAGTCCATTCCATCCGGCGGTCGACCCCACAGACGCATTCATAAATTTTAACATGCTGTTCATTCAAAACGGGAATTTTCTCAAATATAAATTAATATTATAATAACATAATGTGCATATATAGGCATAGGTTAGGTTAGATATTTAGGTTCTGATGGCGATTATTTGTACTTGTAGTACGTGGGTGAAGCGTTTACAGCGTTGTGATTCCAACAAAACTCGTTAGTGAAGCACTTGTTCCGAAAGTGTTCGGATGTCATCAGTTGTGAGTCGTGTGTAAACCGTTTTTCATTCATAACCAGCGGGTTTGGCGGGTGGATGGAATGGTCTTTGTTTATGAGGACAAGCTGCAAGATCAGCGGATGGGCCAAACGTATCACCAAACTAGCACTTTAATTGTTTTGACTGTAGATCCAAGTGTAAATAGTGGCTGTGGCTTGTGGGGGAAGGCCGACCAATGGCAGCCCTGAGATGTATACATACGTAGACATTTTCAGCCAATCATAATTAATGTCGTGTGTATAAAAGTGGAGTTGTTGATCCTGGGAACATTGTGCTCTACTCCTTGCCACAGTGACAACACCTAGCCAGCTATGGTAAGTATTATACTTTATATTATTGTTTATGTACTGTTTGACACTTTAGTATGTATTATTACATAAATCTTATCTAGTACCAATGGTCAACTTTGGTGTAGCATAAAGTTATATTGGAATTTGCATAGACAATTGGACACTAACAATGTCTTTAATTATGACGTTAAGGTTTCATTATTTTTAATTCGCGTTTAATCACTACAGTAGGTGATAATTGCTAGATTTAAAAAGAAGCCTAATAATTATATTCTTTTAAACCCAACATGAGTAATGAAGGTAGGATTGTAAAGATTTAATATCTTGACCGTTCACATCTTTATATGGCAGTACTCTAGATGTAATGGGCCCCTTAAACCATCCTCTGTTCTTCCCTTAAACAACTTTAACGTTACACAGGCCTTTATAACCTACTACTTCGGGCAAATAAAGTTGGTTTCTTTCCAGAGAACTATCTCCACCCTGACCCTAGTGCTGGTGGCGGCGTCTGCCTGGGCCCAGTACCACATAAGGCGTGATGGTACACCTATAATATTCGGGGGGTCGGGTGACGCTACCATGGCGGCGTCCCCCGGGCTCCTTGTGGTGGCGCCCCGTCAAGAGGGCTCCCCTCAACCTCCCCAACCTGCTCCTCGGCCCCAACCTCAACCACCGGTACCAGCCCAAGATGTCTTGCCTCAACGGTTCCAGCTTTCCGGAGAGGCTGCTCCACTTAATCCATTCCAGGCTTCCCTCTGTGACGCTAAGAAACCTCTGGTAAAAATGATTAAATCTTGTAACTTAAATAGATATACTATATATAGTATAGTTAAACTTGGTAACGGTTGCGCAAAATTAAATCTGTAAAGTTATTACTATACAGTTAAATCTAAAAGATAACATAATACGCTAGTTTCTAGTGATTTATTTTGGTAACTTGTAGGTTGACGAGGTAGAGTCCGGGAGGGCGTACCACCTGTCGTGGTGTCACGACTCTGGGCGGACCTACACCTGGGAACAAGCGTCGCGTTACTGTGCTGCTCTGGGCCACGGCTTCCAGGCCCTCAGTATAGAGACCCAACCTGAACAACACTTTATAGCCACTATCATCGTTAAACGTAAGAACTTCAGTGTAATCTTGGATATAGACAATAAGTTGTAATGTACTTTTCTCGTGAATGCCACAGTACTTTGTATGTAATCGTTAACTATAAAACTCTACCTAATATTATACACTGGTTTTCCCGTGTTTGTCAGACTACGTCACTGACATCTGGACTAGCGGCAACAAGATTAATAACAGGTTCTGGGTGTGGGCATCTGGTGTGGCTTCCACCTACACCAACTGGTCCCTTACTGGCAGGTAACTATTTACTCCTTCACACGCCAGAGCATGGTTCACAAACCGAAGAGAAAAATATTGTACGGTAATATAATTTTACTTTAAGGTAATTTGTCTAGAGTAGGGGGTTTATGAGTATTAATTACAAAGTGTACGTCGTGGGTTGTTGCAGGCGCGGCGTGCCCCAGCCGGACAACACTGAGGGCAACGAGGACTGTCTGGCAGTTCTCAACAACCACTACAACGACGGCGTCTCTTGGCACGACTCTAGCTGCTACCGCTTCAGACGTGTTATATGCGAGGCGCCACAGTTCTACAAAGTGTAAAACATTCCTTGGGTTAAATTGACATGTATAATAAATCTTCGTACACTTCTATACGTATTAATATTGTCTGTCTAACCCTCTGATAACTGGGAAGCTCTCAAATCTACAATAGTAAGAGATGTATGTAAGAAACACTTTATGTGAATTTTTTTGCCTGAAAGTTTGACTCTTGTGTACCGGGGACAAAGCTGTAGGTAGAAAATGCCTTCCTAGATACCAAAGGCCATAATCTAACTGAAATGGACAAATCCTGTGATTGCTCAAAAAATTGGTTAACTAGTGTAATGACAAATTTCTACCGATTGTACAAAATACATATTTAGCAGACTTGCTTGGAATATCTAGTCTCCAATCGGTAACACCCTCGCACATTGCAGGCCTTGTATACAAAAGCACCTCGGCTTAAATAGAATATTTAAGGTATACTGTAATCACCATTATAATGTATCAGGTTCATGATTTGTACCAAGAGAAACAACAGCGGCACTTTCCTGCACCGTGGGAGGTTACACCCTTTCCAGTTTTAATCCCTCCCTTTCCACCCAAGAAGCAAATTAGAGATCAGCCCAAGCTTCGTCTTGAGGCAAAGCTCAACGCCTTAAGCCATATTGATGCTCTGTCCACAGAGCATTCTCTCTCTCAAATTATATACACTGATGGTTCCCTACACCGCACCACGGGTGCAGCTGGAAGTGCAGTTGTCCTGACAATGGGCGATGGCCTATACTTTGAGTGGGGAGTCCGTATAAACAACTGGGCCTCTACCCTTCAGACTGAACTACTTGCCTTGATCCTTGCACCGAGATGTGTAAAAGTATCAAAACTTGATACATTAATTGTAAGTGACTCCTTATCATCCTTAAATGCTCTCAACTCTTTAAGACATAACTGTAAAATGCTCGTGTCCGAAGCTAGACACAAATACAACAAAATTATTAAGGATGGTAACAAGAGTCCATTTCATGTGGTTTCCATCTCATGTTGGCCTCCGAATGCATGATAGAGCTGATAAGTTAGCCAAAGAATCTGCCTTTAAAGGAGCCGTTGAGTGTAACCTTGGATTGTCAATGAGCAATCTGAGAGCAGCAGTACACCGAGAACTTCAACAAGATCTTGTAGATCTGAGGCAAAGTGAAATTGACACCAGTAATTCCATCTATCATCATACTATCATGCAAGAGGAGCCACACATCTATGGATCATCCAATAAAATCAGCAGACTTCTAGATGTTACTACTGCTCGGCTTAGACTCGGTTACAAGTATCTCTGGGAATTCTCATTATCTGCTGATGTAGACCTGACCAAATGTAAACTGTGTCAACAAAATTATTCGCACACCCTCCGTCACTATGTGATGGAGTGCGAAAAGATACGTGAATTTAGAGACAATTCTATAACCAATGTTCCAGCGATGTGTCAATATTTCATTCAAAATGATCTGCTACCAGAAATTTTAGCCAAATATCCCCAGTTTGCTAACTGTAGGTAGTAACTAAGTGATTGTAACCTATCCACCGCTGCCCACTGGATGGGGGGCGGTGTGCAGGACAAACATATCAATTTTGACACTAGCTCTCCACATATGTCAGTTGCTTAATTTAGAACCTGTACTTGAGGTCGATCTCGAACCCATTGTTGATGTGATGACTTATATTGAATTTTGTAACTAGCTCATCAAGATTGTAACTTGCTTAGCTAAATGAATTGTGGGGTTCAGTTCCTGAGCCCATTATGTGCCTCTGTAACCCTTTCCACTACCGCCCACAAGATGGGTATGGGGTGCATAATAAATGAACTAACATTATGAAACTTGTCTCTATGCACACAGGACTTCTCGTGTACGTGAGCATGTACACTACATTAGGAATAGGTGGCATGTTAACGCTTCAAGGGCGTCAAACATCTGTTCCATGGGGGACCAGTGTACCACTAGCTTCTGGGGTGAAAGTTCCTTTGGGCCTCCATACCTACATTGGTAGTCCGTAGGGGAATTCCTTGGGTTTCCATCACCACCCGTACATAGGCTCTTATAGTGGCCCTGATCGTCCCATGGTTCGCGACTAACAATTTTTAGTTTAGTTCATTTATTATGCACCCCATAACCCATCTTGTGGGCGGTAGTAGAAAGGGTTAGAGGCACATAATGGGCTCAGGGACTGAACCCCACAATTCATTTAGCTAAGCAAGTTACTGAAGTTTGTAACTCTTCAAGATTGTAAGTCGTCACATCCATAAATGTGTTGATCAACCACAAGTACAGGTTCTAAATTAAGAAACTGACATGTGGAGAGCTAATGTCACAATTGATGATTGTCCTGCACACCGCCCCCCATCCAGTGGGCACAATGCAGGCATGTCAAAGCTCAAATCGGAGATCGTTTATGAACAAAATGCAAGCACTTCATCTTGACCAACCTGAAGTATGATGGATGTAACTTGTACTTTTGTGTTTAAAAATATTAATACCGACAAGAGTTCAGAAGCACTTTAAATTAGTTTATATCAAACTGGAAATTTTGCGAGAGTCCCTGCTGTCTACTTGGTTTTCTGTTTAGCAGCGTTACGCAGAAGTGTAAAGTACAATTTTGGGGATACTAAAATATTTTATGGCACCTAGATTTCGATAGGCTTATTAAAAGCCTAGATTATAATTGATCATTCAAAATGAGTTGCAAACATGTTGGATTACTAGATGGCTAGTACATAGTATGCCTTGAGCAACTAATACGCAGTTTCGGGCAAGGTAAAACTGGATAAATTGCTGGCCTGAACTACCTTACCTTGAGGTGCTTCCGGGGCTTAGCGTCCCCGCGGCCCGGTCGTCGACCAGACCTCCTGGTTGCTGGACTGATCAACCAGGCTGTTGGACGCGGCTGCTCGCAGCCTGACGTATGAGTCACAGCCTGGTTGATCAGGTATCGTTTGGAGGTGCTTATTCAGTTCTCTCGAACACTGTGAGGGTCGGCCAGTTATGCCCCTTATGTGTAGGAAGTGAGAGGAAGCCGGCGGCTTGTCAAATAATCTCCAGTTGGATACCTTTCAATAATTTTGTTCTATACTGAAGTGCAATATTGCGGGGGGGGGGTACTGGGAGGACCCAGAAATAAGAACTAGGCTTTTTAATGTTTGTTGTTGTGCTATAGTTGTTAGCAGTGCCTAATTGTATCGCATTCCTGTAAGCACGAGGTGACGCAGGTGAAATGGGATGGTCAGCCTCTTAAAGATAACAGTTTGGTTATCCTTGCTCCTGGCAGTGATTGTTGAAATGTGTAGTTCGGTGTGTAGCTTGAGGTGTCTCAGCAGTTTGGAGGGTTAAGACCCCGGGTCGACCCGTCCTCGGGCCAGGCCTCGTCAATGCAGCGCCCCCTTCTCCAAAGACTTGTCCAGAAATTTTAACTTTGGGTTTATTACATTTTAGGCTTCTCGTATCTAAACCTCACCTTCTCATTCAATTAAATTTCTATGAATAGTTCGATTAAGTGCTTAGGTTTTGTTGCGATTACTTGCATTTTTTTTTATGTACATGGGTGAAGCATTTAGAGCGTTGTTCTAGAGTATACGTTATAAAAGCACTGTTCGAACGTCGTCAATAGTCTTGTGTGAACTTAATAAACGGCGGATTGACGGCTGGATTAACGACCATTCGGCGTTTTATTGATGACTGACTTCCTCGCGATAATTTGCTGACCAACCAAAAAGTTGAAGGGCGACAAGGAAGAGATCTGATGCCCCATCTAGACCAGCCAGTACAGGGTTCTGAACAGTCCTGGGAAGGGTTTCATCAGCCATTTGTATAATCACTTGCCAGACCTATTTTTTCGTCAATCGTCGAAGCCTTGTCAATCGTCGAAGCCTTGTTTACTAAACAATTTAAGCTCCGAAGCACTAAGAGGTTGTTTATAATGGTAATAACCCTGGGGTGTGAAGGTTTCAAACATCATTAACTGTTTAATGTAAACAAAACCATCGTAATTGAGAAAAGATGGACAGGTTTCGTAAGTGGTTGACGAATCCTGGCCCAGGATTAAACTATTTTAATAATAATATATTTGCAAGAAGGTACAATGGGATGATGAGACTACCCAAGATTGGTATTTATACATTCATGCTTAGCCTAACACGCATAGCGTTTTGGGCAATTTTTTTTCTTAATTTATATACTACCGCATTTGTTCTGTTGCAGTTACATATATATATATATATATATATATATATATATATATATATATATATATATATATATATATATATATATATATATATATATATATATATATATATATATATATATATATATATATATATATATATATATATATATATATATATATATATATATATATATATATATATATATATATATATATATATATATATATATATATATATATATATATATATATATATATATATATATATATATATATATATATATATATATATATATATATATATATATATATATATATATATATATATATATATATATATATATATATATATATATATATATATATATATATATATATATATATATATATATATATATATATATATATATATATATGTTTCAACAATGAGTATTCAATGAGTATTAAATTCCAACACAAGACAGAACACGAAACAATGGGTATTGAATGGGTATTAAATTCAAACACACGACAGAACACGAAACAATGGGTATTGAATGGAAGTAATTGTAGAAAGCCTATTGGTCCATATTTCTTGATGCTTCTATATTGGAGCGGAGTCTTGAAGTGGGTAGAATATAGTTGTGCATTAATTGGCTGACATTAACATTAACAGCCAATTAATGCACAACTATATTCTACCCACTTCAAGACTCCGCTCCAATATAGAAGCATCAAGAAATATGGACCAATAGGCTTTCTACAATTACTTCCATTCAATACCCATTGTTTCGTGTTCTGTCTTGTGTTGGAATTTAATACCCATTGTTCACTGTTAACCTCATCCACTTCACCCAAATGTAGATATAAACCTCGAAGATGTGCAAGCTCTATTCAGTTTCAGTTGTGTGTTTGTAAACTAAAGT